TTACTTAACCTTTTCCCCGCGCAGAGCTGTACGAGCAGGCGATCGCGCAGGAGGAGGGCAACTTCATCGTGTCGACGGGCGCGCTGGCGACGCTGTCGGGGCAGAAGACGGGCCGCTCGCCCAAGGACAAGCGCGTCGTCAAGGAGCGCGCGCACGCCGAGGACCTCTGGTGGGGCAAGTGAGTATTTGCCACGGGGGTTTCGGGGTTCAGGGCTTGGTTTGAACAGAGCTGGGGCCGGAGTGTGGGTTTTAGGTGACTCCGCTTTTGCCGTTTGGGCTCGGAGAAGTCGGCGTATAGATGCTGTTTCTATTAACAACCTGGCGTCTTGGGTGTCTTACATTATGTGTCGTATCCTTCTGTGTGTCTGCGTGCATGTGCGTGCGTGCTTGTGTGCGTGTATGTGTGCTTGTGTGTGTATGCGTGTGTGTGTGTGTGTGTGCGTGCGTGTGATTGTTTACGTGCGAGCCCAGAGGGTCGCCCAACTACGAGATGGACGAGTACACGTTCATGGTGAACCGCGAGCGAGCCATCGACTACCTCAACACCGTCGGCAAGGTGCGCTGCCTTCTCCCCGAAATAGATCACCCTAAACCAACAGACTGGTTACACACTTCCAGTCGAGCAAGCAGTGTGGCGTGGTGGAGCAACGGAGACTCGAAACAGAAGAAAATTCTTGTATTTTCTGTCATATCTGGATTTGATAATGCTCGGTCATTGAACATCGGCTCATTATCCCCCCTCGTCTTCTTACGTACTCTGATCCAATCCCGTGCTGCCACGTGGCTGCAGGTGTACGTGCAGGACATGCTGCTGGGGTGGGACCCGAAGCTGCAGATCAAAGTGCGCATCGTGTGCGCGCGTGCCTACCACGCGCTCTTCATGCACAACATGTGAGTGCCACGCGCTGCGTGCAACAGCTATGATTGAACCTTCATACAACACCTGTCTGAAAGAACTTACGCGTTAAATCGCGGCTTCTCAGTTCGACTGTCATTCTTAGATCACTGTGCAATTGCTCCTCTTCTCCGTCCTCCCCCTCTCGCAGGTGCATCCGGCCGACTCAGGAGCAGCTCGACAACTTCGGCGAGCCCGTGTTCACCATCTACAACGCGGGGCACTTCCCCGTCAACCGCCTGAGCAAGTTCATGACGAGCACGACGAGCGTGGACATGGATTTGAACCGCATGGAGATGGTCATCCTGGGGACCGAGTATGCTGGGGAGATGAAGAAGGGGCTGTTCTCCCTCATGAATTATCTCATGCCCAAGCAGGTGGGTTTCTAGGGGTGTGCAGTGGTTGAAAGGTGTGTCTAAGCACAGAGCACTAGCAGCACGACGAGCGTGGACATGGACCTCAACCGCATGGAGATGGTCATCCTGGGCACCGAATACGCCGGGGAGATGAAGAAGGGACTCTTCTCCCTCATGAACTACCTCATGCCGAAACAGGTGGGTTTTCCAGTGGTGCGCAGTGGTTGACAGTGGTGAGCAGCACTGTGTAAGCACAGGGCACTAGCAGCACGACGAGCGTGGACATGGACCTGAACCGCATGGAGATGGTCATCCTGGGGACGGAGTACGCGGGCGAGATGAAGAAGGGACTCTTCTCCCTCATGAACTACCTCATGCCGAAACAGGTGGGTCGTTGTGGCAACAGTTTTGCCGTCGAAGTCACTCACTGCCTTGCAGCGAGTGTGCCTAATTGTGACACAACAGCAGTGCATGGGAATGTGAGATGAACGAGAACGAAGAACGAATGAGTGTGAGTGAAACAAGAATCGAAGGCACTCCATCAAGCGTTTGAATTTCTCCCATCGCCATTTCCTCTTGTCTCTTGCAATGCTCTCTCCCTGTGGCTCTCCCCCCCCCACTCTCCCTGTTAGACTGTGCTGTCGCTGCACTCGGGCGCCAATAAAGGCAAGAACGGCGACGTCTCTCCTTCCTTTCCATTCGCTTACAATCTTCCTTTCCCTCCGCTTCCGCCTCCGTCCCAACCCACCCCTGCCGTTCCACGTCCCCTTCCCCTCCCCCTCCCCTTCCAGGGCGTGCTGTCCCTGCATTCGGGCGCCAACATGGGCAAGAATGGTGATGTCTCGCTCTTCTTCGGGCTGTTGGGCACGGGCAAGACGACCCTCTCCACTGACCCCCCTCTCTCCCTCCTTCCCCCCTCCAGGGCGTGCTGTCCCTCCACTCGGTTGCCAAATCTTCGTCGTCCATCTGCTCACAATCCTCTTTTCTCTCCACTCCCCCCTCCGTTCCACCCCTCTCTCCCTCCTTCCCCCCTCCAGGGCGTGCTGTCCCTGCATTCGGGTGCCAACATGGGCAAGAATGGTGATGTTTCCCTCTTCTTCGGGCTCTCCGGCACGGGCAAGACAACCCTCTCCACCGATCCGCACCGCCTGCTGATCGGCGACGACGAGCACACGTGGAGCGACGACGGCGTGGCGAACATCGAGGGCGGCTGCTACGCCAAGTGCATCAACCTCAGCCGCGAGAAGGAGCCCGACATCTACAACGCGATCCGGTTCGGAGCGGTGCTGGAGAACGTCGTCTTCGACGCGCACACGCGTATAGTAGACTATGATGATAGCAGCATCACGGAGAACACGCGCGCGTCGTACCCGATCGAATACATCCCCAACGCGAAGATCCCCTGCACCGCGGGCCACGCGACGAACGTGATTCTGCTCACGTGCGACGCGTTCGGCGTGCTCCCGCCCGTCAGCCGGCTGACGCTCGAGCAGGCCATGTACCATTTCATCTCGGGTTACACGGCCAAGGTCGCGGGTACTGAGATGGGGGTGACGGAGCCGGAAGCGACGTTCTCCGCTTGCTTCGGCGCGGCTTTCCTCATGTGGCATCCGTACAAGTACGCGTCGCTGCTGGCTGAGCGAATGAAGAAGCACGGAACGACGGCGTGGCTGGTGAATACCGGGTGGACGGGCGGGAGTTATGGCGTCGGGAGCAGGATGAGCATCAAGAGCACGCGCGCGATTATTGATGCGATTCATGATGGGTCGTTGCTGAAGGAGGAGTATGTGACGACTCCGGTGTTTGGTCTCCAAGTGCCCACCAAGTGCAATGGCGTGCCCACTGAAGTGCTTCAGCCTGAGACCCTGGTGAGTGCTCGTCCTTGGTAAGAGCTCTCCCCCCTGCATCCCTCGAGTGGGAACGCCCATTCCCCTGCAAGTGCCCACCAAGTGCAATGGCGTGCCCACTGTAGTGCTTCAGCCAGAGACCCTGGTGAGCCCCTTCCCCAGTCCCCGTTGTGTGTCATTCGGTTGATTCGCGACCTGTAATTCACCCACCCCGCTCTTCCGCTCCCCACTTCCGCCTTCCCCACATCAGTGGCCTGACAAGGCCAAGTACCAGCAGACCCTGGAGAAGAGAAGCTTGGCGCGCTGTTTGTGAGACTTGTCTTCGTGACTCCCCCTCACACCTTTTCCTCTGTGTCCTTCCCCACCACTCCCCCATTATCCTCGACCCACGCAGTGGCCCGACAAGGCCAAGTACCAGCAGACCCTGGAGAAGCTTGGCGCGCTGTTAGTAAGACTTGGCTTAATGACTCCCCCACGCACTCTGTGTCCTCCCCCACCCACCCTCCTCTATCCCCCATTACCCCCAACCCACAGTGGCCCGACAAGGCCAAGTACCAGCAGACGCTAGAGAAGCTTGGCGCGTTGTTTGTGTTTCCTTACTCCCTTCCCCTGCGCTCCTCTCCTGTTCCCTCCTCCCTCAACACACACAGTGGCCCGACAAGGCCAAGTACCAGCAGACGCTGGAGAAGCTTGGCGCGCTGTTTGTGAAGAACTTTGGCAAGTTTGTTGAGTTCGAGATGGGCGGCCAGACCACACGCATCCCTGACGAGGTGCTGGCAGCGGGGCCTAGAATCACGGAGCAGCAGCTGCAGCGGGCGCTCAGGTAGAGCGCTAGAGCGGTGGGGAGGAGTGGGAGGCGGTGGTGGGGGGTGTGGGGGGGAGGCATGTGCGAGATGGTTGGGGAGAGACCACGAGCGTCCCTAAGGAGGTGTTGGCTGTTGGGGGCTAGAATCACGGAGCAGCAGCTGCAGAAGGCGCTCAGGTGGTCAGGTAGAGAGCTGAGTAGGTACCCCTTTTCTGGCGTAGTCTCTCGCTAAAGGCAGAAGTCATGATGCAGTAAGCAGGCAGGGGGTGGAGTTAGGCGGCCCTGCTTGCAGGGGTGGCAGGAGTGAGCGTTGCATTTGTCAGTGTGTGGTAGTGAGGTGTGGTGTGCCACTGTAGGTTTGTGTTGGCATTGCGTTTTCCACAGCCTGTGGAGTTAGCTGTGATGTTTGTTTTCCTTGTCATGTTGTTCAGATGTGCATCTAAATAAAGCGCTGAATGAACTCACAAGCACCCCACAACTCCAACAGAAAAGCCTAGTGCGGCAGAACTGCAATACGGTTTCAGGAAACAGTCTGATAGGACAGTCATCAAAGCGTTCGCTTGCACTGGCCAGACCACGTACTAATGTAGTGAGAATGAACAGATAGGGCTTGAGATTTGTCAGTCCAGTGCCTTCCTGTTCTGTCTTCACCTTTAGCCTAGGAAGTCAGCTGAGCTGTCTGGAGAGAATCTATACCTACCGGTATGCTGGTGAAACAATACTGTACTACCTATGAATTCCTTTGCAATGAAAACAATGGCTACCACCACTAACTGCCTGTTTATCCTTGATAACAGTACATGGGTTGCTGCCAACTGTGGACTGGAATACAGATGCTTCCTGCACCAAGCACATTCCAATCCATCTGTTTTCACACATTACAGCCACTGCTTACCCTCTCAGGTCCCTTGCAACAGGAAGCAGGAAGCAACTGCTCCAAACAAGACCAATCACGTCGTAAACAAAGCCTCTCGTTCCCATCTCTCACTACACTACCACAATCTGTCACCATATGTCACGGCCCAGCTCTCACTGAGCAAACCTGCACTACCGGTAAAAAGCAAGCGCATTCACCCTCGTTCGTTAGCACCAACGTATCACGCCCCACCTTTCACCAAACCGGTCTGCACCTTCTCACCCCCCTCACCACCCCTCTCAGCACCAGCAGCTTCACCCCCTCCCTTGCCCCCCTCCTTCCCCACCTCCGCCTGGGGTGTTATACCCCCAAGCCCAGATACACCCCCCCCTCCCCCCTCACCCCCCTCCGCCTTCCCGCCTTCTCCCCCCTTCCCTCTTGCTTCCCCTGCCCCTGCCTCCACCTTCACCTGTCCCCTCTCCCTCTCCCCCTCTCCACGCGCCTCTCCCCCCGCCGCCCCCCCCCTCTCTGTAAGCACGCTCAGCACATGCCTCAGAACATCGTTCCTCGAAATCACGCCCACTACAGTCACACCCGGCCGGCCCCCCTCCCGGGGCGCCACCACAGGCAGCCTCTTAATCTTCGCATCGAGCATGATAGTAGCGGCGTCCTTAACGGGCGTGTCGGGGGTGACTGATATGGACTGCTCGCTCATGCTAAGCCCCACGGTCTGGGAGAGCACTTTAAGAGCCTGGTCCTCATAGGTCTCTAGCATGCTCGTGTCTGACGTCATCATTGACCACAGGTAAGGGGCGCGGAATGCCGTTTCAAGCTCCTGACGGTTGGGGGGGGGGAGGGGAGGAAGGGGGGGGGGGGGGAGGCGGGAGGCTGGAAAGGGCAAGGGGGAGTTGCAAAGGCGAAGGGCAGGACTCTAGCATGCTCGTGTGTGACGTCATGATCGATCAGAGATATGGCGCTCGGACATCCCCACCTACGCGCCGCACCTTATCAGTCGCGTCCACCTCCTTCCACAGAAGGTCCTCCTCGCTGATCACGCCCACCAGCCTGCCACAAAGCACGGAGCGAAGAGGATTCCTCAACCCAATCCACGTCCTCACCTCGCAACCCTGCAACCCTGGCACCTCCCCACCCCTGTGCTGCGGCGCACCTTGTCGGTCGCGTCCACCTTTTTCCATAACAGGCCCTCCTCGCCGATCAAACGTACCGCCCTGCCACTGCCCGTACCAACTAAGGCAACCGGTCTCCCCGTCCCACGAAGCACAAACCTTGTCGGTCGCGTCCACCTCCTTCCATAGCATATCCTCCTCGCTGATCACGCCCACCAGCCGGCCGCTCCCCGTCGAGTCACCCTCGTACGGCTCCACCACCGGCGCGCCGCTAATCTTGTGCTCAATTAGCGCCTGGCGGTATGGGGGGGACACGTGCGATGCATGTGCGAAATTGCGCAGGACTCGAGAAACCTCACAAGGCGACACACTCGTGCGCACGAGACAAAACAACCACCGCACGAGGCAACACAGCGACTCGCGCAAGACGAGGCACTCACGCGCAGGGCGTCCTCGAGAGGCGTGTCGCGTCGGAAGCAGATCGGGTCGCGCGTCATGTACTGCTCCACCTTCCCGACAGCCCGCGGCTCGCACGGCCGCGCCGATCGCAGGTCCTCCACCGATACCTCGGTCGCCATGGCGGACGGCGCAACGAGTTTCCACGAGAAAACGATTTTCAGCGATGTCAGAGTCAGGAACGACGATTATTTCCAGCTCGTAGAATCAAGGACGTCTAGTTGGAAAAAAGCGATCAAGGCGAGACTCAGTGCTGGGTCTCCTTCGGGAGAAAGCGTCGTACAAGAAATCCACTACGAAGTCCCGAATTAACAGGGAATCATTCGTACGAGTCGCTCAGCATGCGCTAAGTCAGTCTCACGCCGCGACAAATGGCGAATTGACAAACATCGCACGTGGTTGTCGATCTGGCCGCGAGCCGCATGCGAGTCCGAAACTTGAGAATTGGTACACTCGACTCGAGCAGCGCTGGAATTTCAGTAATCCAAGAACATTGGATCTGGTGGGGAGAGCGAAATAAACATCATGCGACTGGGTAACTTGGATTCGCGATGTGAGACGATCACTCGAATTAAGTAACATTGTTGCTTAGGGTTTGGTTGGCGACCAGACCAGACCAGAGTCCAGACTCGTGCGATCAATCTCCTCGACCTTTGCTGTGCTGGCGGAGCTGCGTGATGCGCTGTCCAATCCCTCGAACTCGCTCGAAGATCCCGCCAGCGAAGACTCGAACGTTGCAGCGCTGGTGAACCTGTGGCACTCGAAATCCATCTGACGGCTTGTTGACGTGGGATAGACCAGAATACACGTGAATGTGCTGCAACGTCAGCCTCGTGGTGGAACCACGAATAATAAACAAGCTCCCGACAGGCCTGAGCTTTGCTGAGTTGTTGCCGAACCTACGTCATCGCCCCGCGTCCCGCACGAATGTGCAGCATGTCATGTCGCGCTGGCAAGGAGTCGTTCTAGCAGGGACCGAGCCGCACCTATTCTAGCTTATCCACCGTAAGCGCTAGGCCTTCCCCAGCTCAGGGAATGCCGAGGCTATGTTTCTTGGTTGAAAGGGAATGTTGAGCCCCCCCACTCAACTTCATATTTTAGCTGTCAGCGATATCGACCAAGCTCAGTCTACTCGGCACAACATTACTCGTGCAAATCTTGCTTTCTACTTATTACTCTAGCTTACATCCGCTGCGATTCTCACGTTCCTCATTCGATAGCCCTTCCGAGTCTAACATTGTCGGCGTTGCTAAATCATGGCTGCGGTTCAAGCTCTTGTCCTGACCCACACCAATCTCGCCATTGCTACACCCTCTCTTAGACTTCAGGTAAGCATTCCACGTATCGCTTTTCTCATGCAAAATGGGTTGCATGCTCGTTGAGACGATTTCTTTCTCCTCACCACGCCATTATATCTGACCTCGAGTTTCTTGCTCTTTCAGGAGCAACCTCCCCGAAGACTCGCCATCACTGCGGCGAAGCGCCACCGGCGGCCGGGAGTGCACCACCGAGGCCCCGCGGTACGCTCCCTCGCCATCCCGTTTGCAAGCCCTAACAGCTACTTGCCACAACAATGGGAGTTTTGCTGTTGCTTCTTGTTCCTCCTACCTGCTTCTTTCTGTGCTTGTCTTGACGATGAAGGATGTTGGTTTCTGGCGCTAATATCAACGGTTCCCTCGCCTTCCTTTCTTCTCTATTCTTTCTTTCCATCAGCTTGAGAAGGCGACATTTCCGCAGGGTTACGGTGCTGCGCCCGAGACGCCTCCGCAGAGCGCGATGGCCGCTAAGGCGGAGGAGGTGAAGCCGCCGGCGGCGGAGGCGCGGATGGAAGAGGAGCGCCCCGCGTGGCACGAGTCGATGAAGGGGCAGCTCTTCTGGTTCATGCGCACCCTCGGGACCATCGTCGATTAGATGCTTGTTGCGACTTTTACGGCACTTCAAAAGGCTGTTCTGGCTTATGCGTACCATCCAGGTGCATGGATTCTATCGTCAATCAGGTGTTCCCTGTGCTGCTGGCAGCCTCAAGAACTGCCAGCGCCAAGTACCGTACTTTCTACACCTTTTGGGAGTTTAGCAGCATTATTGCGAGTTTGGGGGAAATGCCTCCTCTTCTGTGTTTGTAGCTCGTTAGGGTGTATATACCAGTGCAAGCGTATCTGCTAGAGTGCTTTGGACCGTAGGGTCTTGTACCAGCTGGCCTGTAACAGTCCTGGGGACTTTTTGCCCTGCAATATCATATAGGCAACACTCTAGTCGCAGGCTCGCTGACAGGCTGGCTGGCTCCTTCCTTATATCCATCCATCCACCCACACCCCTCCAACACCTCCCTCACCAACCCATCTCCCATGCACTCCCTCCCTGCTCTGTGAAGGGAAAACGGAGGACATATATCCTATCATGAGCTTTAGGGTTGTTTGTGCACATAGCCTGTTCTCCACACAAGTAATCTCAATTCCTTAGCTGTTCAGTGGATGCTAAAGCATTACCAAGGTTTTTACAACAGATATATCATATACGGTATGCATTGTTGTTCCCCATTACAGGATGTTGTCGTATTTGTTGTAATCATCCACCTGGATAATGAAGGGCACATTGTGGGGGTTTGGTCGTCGTTTATGGTAGTTTGAGTTTGAGGGGCATTTCCACCAGCATTTCCAGCGGGTTTGTTTTTCCATGAATGGTCCACATAATTTGTGTATTGGGTATGATGCTACCATAACTTTTGTATTGGGTACGAAACGAAGCTACCACTCCTCTCAGCGTTTGATCCTGCTCTGGCTGCTTTACTTGCGGTGCAGCTTGCTTGCTGGCTTCCCTTGTCCCATCTACACAACAAGAGTGGCATGCTGAATGCATGTCTGCTTTCATCAACCCCTGGTTGTCTCCTTTCATCCCTGCAATGCAAGTACCGTACTTTTGTGTTCGACAAGCTATATTCAAGTATGACGTGCATTTTTTTGCGAGGTTTTTTCTGACCGCGTTAAAAAGGTCGCGTACTGAAATATCCAGAAGGCAGTTGCCACAAAAATGCCACAAATCAACAATGTGCATTTCAAATATCGCATTCCATGTATACCTAGGCTCATAATGCTGTTCATGTATAATTAGCGTCTTGTATAGGCTACCTGCCATTTTGAAACGGTGTTGCGAAACAAGGAAATATCTTTATCTGCGCGTGGTTGCTTTACTTTCCAGTTGGCTGTTCCTTCGTCATAGCGACAGTTGTCAGTGCCGCTGAAATTCCGCTGCGTGCCAGTTCCCGTCCAAGATGGCGGGAACTGACGCAACAAAGATTCCGCCTTTCCTGGCAGAATTTATGTAGGGCATGAGCTGCCAAAGATCAAGTTCAACAAATAGGGTGCTGTTGCTTTCTGACATCCATGAGCCTCCCTGCCCACCACATGTGCCATTCTGCCAGTTCCCTCCCATTTCTCCCGCATGGGTATGTGGCATTCAAATGTTGGCGGGAAATCGATACCAGGTCATCCGGGCAGCACAAAGAACAGAGGCCGCACGGATTTTGTTTCAGCCCCTCCTTGACGTGGCGAAAAAGCGCTCCCCTTTTTCCAACCACCCCTCTCCTGGTTGTGATGCAGCCAATGGGGCGTCTGCCCTCCTGTCCATGAGTTTTTTTCCACGTCGAACCTTCTTTCCCCCAAAACCCAGCGGGGTGCGGCAATCCCTTGAGACCCGTCCCGCGCACACATCCCAATGTGACTGGCTAAGCCCCAGAAGTGCGGTCAGAAAGCTGCAGTTGGTACACGTGCCGTCCATTGATTGTCTCTTCGTCTGAACAATTACCCCTGCTTACCACATTCTCTGGTTCGGCTTGACGGACTTCAGTGGCTCGGGAAACCAAAGCGACGGACGTCGGGGTCCGTCGACACCCATAATACAGGCCACCGCCTGAAACCAAGACGGTTGTGTTTTGCAGTTGAGTTGCTAGCAACCGTTTCCCCAGTCCGTCAAGTCCAGCGAAGCACTGCCTTCTGTCGGCGAGGTCAGCTGAAGCTCCGTCCCTGCCTGTCCCAACCACCTGACAGACGGAGACCCAGAAACCATTTCCTGTCAGACTTCTGTTTCTCTCTTCATTTCTGACGACAACATTCCCAGACTGATCAGATCCCAAGGTTTTGAAAGTTTGAAACGTAGGAGTTTTCAGCCATGGCTCATCAAGCTGGCTCTTTGACAGTGGATTCGCTCCCTCCCGTGGAGCCTTGCTCAGTAGAGCAAATTCAACACTGCGACGAAGTGACTGCAGAGGATGCTGAGCACTGCCATATCTCACTTGTAAGTTATTGTGTCGCTCAGATTCGAGCTGTGGTCTGGGAGCCAATCTTAAAAAACTTATGTAACGAATCCACACAAAATCCAAAATCATCACGAACTATTGTCGCTGTTCAAATGTCCGTTCCTTCTCGCTTTCGCTGAGCAGGATGATTTCCAGAATGAGGCGGAAGGCGATTTCATGGACATTCTGTGCTTGGACGAGAGCATGCTGCAGCTTGAGGATGACATCTTGGCTATCGCCGACGATGACATCGCTGGTCCCATCAATCAGCTAAACCTCAAGGCGCCTGCGACCGTGGATATCCGGGCCCTGAACGAAGTGCCGACTCCTCTTCCTCCTTGGGATTCCGAGGTTAGTAGTCGATCAATAACTGTCCATCAGACACCGCTTATAAACCGTTTCATTGGTCAGATATGGTCGATCATTCTCGTGACATGCAGCTAAATTTATTCCATCTTGTTATGTGCTGCAGGATTCTTCATTGTCAGAAGCTCCAGCCCCGCCAGTCGTCACTGAGAGAAACCAGGAGGTCCACGCATCCTCACCCGAGACCCCCTGCGTCAAACCATCATGGCCGTTGCAATCACCGCCGCACCACAAGCGGTTTCATTCTTCCACCGGATCTCACCGAGAAGGCAGTCCCGTTTCAGTTCTTACCGTTCGCCTGTCTCCTGGTCGGCCATTTGAAGGACTCGGCGAACCAGCTCTTGTCGAGTACGAAACTCCGAATTTGTCATTGAGGAATGCCGATCTCAATCCGGCAGATTCGTGTGCTCTCTCCTCCAGATCCCGCAGCAAGCGCATGCGGATTATGAAGCGGGTCTGGTCGACGGACGTAATCTCGCATGTGGTTCCGGAAGACGCTGGGGTTGGCAGCAGCGACGAGCTCGACGATTGTTATGAAGGGCCTGCGGGAGAGATTGAAGACACACGAATTGGTGGATTTACCGATGAAAGGAATTTCTGCACAACTCCGCCGCTTGGTCCGCTCAACTCTGTCCCTCCCACGCTTGAACCTCAATCCAGGGGTTTAATCGGTGGCCCCGATCCTGCGACCTCGGACATTAGCTCACTTACCCTCAGTGGAACTGATTTGCCTCGATCAGCCTCGACGAACCAAGTAGACTCTGTAGCCAAGCAGCCATCCAAGAAGCGTAAGCCTCAAGGGAGTCCCGATGGGAAGGACAAGGATGGCAACATTCGCCGATGCACCCATTGCTCGTCAACGACCACTCCTCAGTGGCGAGCGGGCCCTATGGGTCCCAAGACCCTCTGCAACGCCTGTGGAGTGAGGTACAAGTCCGGACGGTTGTGTCCGGAGTATAGGCCAGCGAGCAGCCCGGAATTCCAGCCGGAGAAGCATTCCAATTCACACCGGAAGATCGTGGCGATGAGGAAGCAGCAAGAGGCGGGAGTGGTGGACGGAGGAGCTCCGTCAAATGTTAACCTGGATGTCGTTGTCGCACCGCCGACTCCGTCACGGGCTCCTAAGAAGCAGATGCAAGACGGAAACACATGTAACGGTAAGAAGCCTAAGAGGGAGAAGACTGAGGAGGAGAAGGAGAGGGCGCGTATTCGACGGCGGTTACGGAAGCAGCAGCAGAAGCTCGTTCTTCAGCAGCAACAGCAACAGCAGCAGCAGCAGCAGCAGCAGCAGGAAGTCGTGCAGGCTGGGCCTTTCTACGGTGGTTATCCAGTACAAATGGGTGTAGGCTCCGCGCTGGTCAGTGCTCCCAGTATCGGGTGCGTGGATACGGGATCACTCGTAGTCGATCCTCTGGTAGCTGATGGTATGGTTCTCCCCAGCGTCCCCAGCGTGCACAGCAGCCTTTCACCCGTTCCTTACGCCGTGCCTCCACCTATGCTTCAGACGCCTGCAGCGGCGCCTCAGACGACAGCACCTGCATCCTATGGAACTATCGGCTACTGCCAGCCATCCGTCATTCCCTCGCCTGTATCCCACGTCACAGAATCTGGACCTGAAGGTTGCTGGAACCCCAGCCACTCGCAAGGGTCCGCTGGGGTATTGTGTGAGGAGGAGGTGGTGGACTGGCAGGGGATGGAGCATGAGGAGGATGAGGACGCCGAAGGATACACCTCGTTCCTGGCTCTGGACTGCCAGCCCCTGGCAACTCCCGTCCTCCCCATGCTGGACTCTGCACTACCTCCTTCCTTCACTGCAGCGCCTTCCTTCGCCGCATGCAATGCGAACCCCATTGGGGCAGTGCCTGGTGCTGTGAGCGCCCCGGATCTGCAGGGCTATTGAGAGGCTTGAGGAGCCCTGGCTTGTCGTTTCGTAGAGTGGTTTTGCTTGGGTTTTGCTTGGAGATTGCGATTGAACTTGGGTTTCGGGTTTATCTACACTGCAGAGGTGACTAAGTGGAAGCAACGCTTCTACAATATGCCTCTTACTGAGGGATGGTCATAACTGCAAGAGGTTGCGCGCAAGTGTGGAGCCTCAGCAGTCGCCTTTACCCTCCTATGTGGCTGCACAATAGTGCTGCCTATACTTGTCAAGTCTGTCAATTTTGGGGTGAATATAAGTTTGTCCCTCTGCAGGCTTTGATCGTGGCTTCTCGGTCACCTGATTTGCAATGTTTTGTTTGTCTAACAATAGTATAATTGTTTGTAGCAGGCAAGGCGTGTCAAAAGGCGTGTGCAAGCTCAACAAAACATGTCAACAAGGCTGGGCAAGAGCTTGCCCCTCATCATGCAATTAGCTAGTACTAACAAGGGGACTTCGTCAGAGAAGCAGGCTTCTCAGAACTCCATTCCAACCATCTCCTAAAAATTCTTCCTACCAAAACCATACTCACCATGCATTTCTGCGAGGCAAGCTAATCTCTACACCATGTCTCCTGCACTGTACGTCGGCATGACTCCAGCAGCTACTAGGCGCACACCACCTGCAGTGGAGGTGGTGGAGGAGGAAGAGGGGGGGGATCCAGCCTGGTCAGTGGAGGCAGCCACTGCATTCCCCTTCCCGCCCCCTCCTCCCCCAATCACAACCGCATTAGGCTGCACTGCTGGTCTGTACAGCCTCTCCCTCCTCCCATTCCCCGTCCCTCCTCCACTCCCAGCTGCAGCACCCCAGCCATGAGGCAGTAGCGCATCCACGTCACTCTTTACCCCGCCTTTTCCGTTCCCAAACGGCCACCACACCCACTGGGAGCTCTGTTTCTTCTTCTTCTTGGGAGGAGGGGCAGGGAAAAAGGATGTGAGCGGGTTTGCAGTGGAGGTTGCAGGGGGTGCTGCTGCTGGTGCCGATGGCAGCGCCTGTGTTGCTTGTTCCCCTGTTGGTGGTGTTGCTGATGGTGCTGTTGCTGATGGTGGTGTTGCTGATGGTGGTGCGGTTGACGGTGGCACAGTTGCTGATGCTGGTGGTGAGGACGAGTTCTCATCACTTCCTGCTGCCTTTGCAGGAGCTGGTGTCGATGGTGGTGCTGGTGACGCTGGTGGTAGTGGCGTTGATGCTGGTGCTGCTGTTGCTGGTGGTGGTGGTGGTGTTGATGCTGGTGCTGTTGCAGTCGCTGCAGCCTCCTTCACATCAGATGCTGCCGCCCCAGCATCCTCCCCATCTCCGCTCGGTGCAGTGCCCTTCACTGCATCACCTTGCACATCCCCTTCTTCCCCTTTCCCCGTCCCACCGTCGGAGCCATCACCACTTCCTTGTGCTCCCGCGCTGCTCTTCTCAACTCCCTCATCTCCATTCCCACCATCCCCAACACAAGGCGCAATCGCATTGCTTCCTTCCCCACCCGCGTCGTCGCTCTCCTCTCCAGAAGCTTCCGTGTCTGAGCTGTCAGATTGTGGTTCTGAGCTGTCAGATTGTGGTTCTGAGCTGTCAGATTGTGGTTCTGAGCTGTCAGATTTTGACTCGGAGCTCTCAGAGCCGGTGGCTGAGGTGTCAGAGCTGGCCGTTGAGTTGTCAGAGCTGGCCGTTGAGTTGTCAGATTCATCCAGGCTGTCATAACTATCACCTAACTTGTCAGTTTCTAGGCTCGAGTCCGAGCTGTCAGAACTGTTGCCTGAGTCGTCCGAGCTGGCAGAACTGTTGCCTGAGTTGTCTGAGCTGGCAGAACTGTTGCCTGAGTTGTCTGAGCTGGCAGAACTGTTGCCTGAGTTGTCTGAGCTGGCAGAACTGTTGCCTGAGTTGTCTGAGCTGGCAGAACTGTTGCCTGAGTTGTCTGAGCTGGCAGAACTGTTGCCTGAGTTGTCTGAGCTGGCAGAACTGTTGCCTGAGTTGTCTGAGCTGGCAGAACTGTTGCCTGAGTTGTCTGAGCTGGCAGAACTGTTGCCTGAGTTGTCTGAGCTGGCAGAACTGTTGCCTGAGTTGTCTGAGCTGGCAGAACTGTTGCCTGAGTTATTGCCACCCTCTCCATTGGAGTCAATCTCACTGCTCCCGGTGGGAGATTCTGCTGCACCATCACTTGCCCCCTTCTCCTCCTCACTGCTGCTTGTGGGCGAATCCGGTCCTCCTCCGCTCTTCACCTCCTCACTGCTTGTCGTGTTTTTTGTCTCCCCTTCCTCCACCCCTCCATCACCTGCCGCTTTCTCCTCATCACTACTTTTGGGCGGGTCCGCTCCTCCTCCGCTCTTCACCTCTCCACTTCTTGTGGTGTTCTTTGCTTGCTCTTCTTCCTTCACCTGTCCACCACTCCCTTCCTCTGCCGAGCTTTTTTCCTTCCCATCCGTCCCCTCGTCCCCTTGCCCATCCTGTGATGCCTCCTCTCCTCCCGCACTCCCTCCCTCACCACCCCCCTTTTCCCCCTCCTGTTCCTTCTCCCCCTCTCCTGAACCCTCCTCGCCTGCATCACCCCCCTTCTCCCCACCCGCGTCCACGGTCTCATTCTTTCCACCCGTCCCCTTCCCCCCCGCCTCCCCCGAATCAGCACCCTCTGTCCCCCCTGTTTCATCCGACGAACCACCCTCTGAAGAAGCACCATCATCCGACGAATCGTCCTTTGCTGAATCCGAGGAGGAACTCGAAGAGGAATTGGATGAGGAATTTGGAGAGGGGTCTGAAGAGAAACCTGATGAGCTAGAAGAGGAATCCGAAGAGAAATTGGATGAGGAATTTGGAGAGGAAACAGAAGAGGAGTTAGAAGATGAGTTGGAAGAGGAATCTGGGGAGGAAAAGGACTTCGACGTGGAGTCCGAAGAAGAATCTGATGAGGAGCTCGAAGAGGAATTCAGAGCGGAGCTGGTCCCGTTAGACAACTCTCCCACCCCTCCTCCTATCACCGGCACGTTCCCTCCCCCACCATCCTTTTTCGCCGTCTTCCCTTCTCCCTTCTTCTTGCCCTTCTTTGGCGCCCCCACCTTGCTGACGGCGTCCCACCACACACTCCCTTCTCCTCCGTCACTCCCCTTCCCTCCCCGCTTCCTGCCATGCTTCTTCGCTGTTGCACCAATGCTGCTGCTGCTGCTCTGGGTTGATTGGGGACCGCTAACATCACTGCTGCTGCTGCTGCTGCTGCCGCTGCTACTACTGCTGTCACTGCTACCAGTCTTGTCTGCCTCACTCTCACCTCCTTCAGGTTCGGTCGTGCCACCACTGCTGCTGCTGCTGCTGCTGCTCATCGCCACCATCGTTGTTGTTGCTGCTGCTGCTGTCTCCACTTTCTCCTGACCCACTACCACTGCCATTATTATTACGCTCACTGCTATCACTGCTCTTGTTGCTACTGCCGCTGCCGCTGGTGCTGCTATCACCTCCGCTACTACCACTGCTGCTACTGTCACCGCTGCTACTATCACTTCCGGTACTATCACCACTGTTCTTATCACTGGATCCGCTCGAAGGAGGAGGCCCCCCAGCACTGCCTCGCTCCTTGTACCCCAGGTGCTGCCCCTGCCGCTCCCTCTCCCGCCTCGCCCTCTCCTGCCTCTCCTTGTGCCCCACAAACCCCCCTCCACTATCACCACCCGCACCACTGCCCCCACCACTGTCCCCACCGCTGCTGCTGCCCTCGCCCTCCCCTCCTGCGTCACCGTCCGACGTGTCGCCACCTGATTCACTCCCATCATCCCCGCCTGTCCCCTCAGAACCCCCATCAGTCTCCGGTGGGGAGGACTTGGTCTTATCACCACTGCTGCTGGGAGATTCACCACGGCTGCTGCTGCTGCCACTGCTGCTGCTGGGAGCAGGGGTAGGGCTCTTGCGCTTTCCCCCTGTGGTGCTATCATCTGGCATCGGGCCAACCTTATTCGACCCTATTCCCCCATGCTGCTCCCTCCCTTTCATCCCCTTGGTGCCACCACTGCTCTCACCCCCACTGCTTCCCCCGTCCTCCTCCTCTCCACCACTGCTGCTTCCGCTGCTGCTGCTGCCACTGCTGTCACTACCACCACTCCCGCTGCTCTTCCCTGCCTTTTGCACCCCACTCGCACTCTTCCCCCCGCTGCTGCTCTTACTCCCACTACCCCCTCCGCCTCCCAGCGTGTTCCCTCCCCCAGCACCTCGCCACGGGTCATCTGGCATGCCTCGGCCTCTCCAGCTACCGCCCCCAATCCCATAGTACCCATTGCTCCCCGCACTGCTGTACCCACCTGTTTTGCTGCCACTGCTGCCACTGCTGCTGCTGCTGCTGCTGCTGCTGCTGCGGTAGCCCCCACCTTCTATAAGCCTGTTGCCGCCACCCCCATCCAGCAACACGTTCCCATCACTGCTGCTGCCGCCGTTGCCACCACCTCCATTGCTGCCCCCGCCGCTGCTCCGGCCACTGTTGCTGTTGCTGTTGCTGTTGCTGTTGCTGTTGCTGTTGCTGCTGCTGCTGCGGCTGCTGCTGCTGCGGCTGGTTCCCCCAATGCTCAAGGCTCCACCTCGACTGCTTGAGCCGGTATTATCGCTGCTGCTGCCACTCGCAGTGCCATCACCACTCCTGCTTCCTCCCCGTCCTCCTCCTCCACCTCCTGTCGCTCCCTTCTCAGCTGAAGCTAGCGGGTCATATGGGTCTATCTCCGGTGCTGAGTCCCCTGAGGAGCCTTCCCCGGATGATTCTCCTGAGGAATCACCTGGAAAACCACCTGAAGATCCAGAAGGAGTCTCACGCGAGGAGTAATCAGGCCTTCTGCTTCCGCCATACCTTCCTGTGCCACCACCACCACCTGTGCCACCACCTGTGCCACCACCACCACCAGTGGCACCAGCAACCTCCTCGGGACTCCTATAGCCCCCAGTGCCGCCGGTGCTGCCGGTGCCACTTCTGCTGGTGCGACTTCCCAAGGATACTCCATCCCTTACATTCCCGTTGCTACCACCGTTGCTGCCGCCATTGCTGCCGCCTTGACTGCCACTGCCACCACCACCATAAACACCTTTCCCACCATTCCCACCATTCCCACTATTCCCACCATAACCACCATTACCACTATTCCCACCATTACCACCAGACCCTGAGGAGCCTAGAGGGTCGTATGGATCTATTCCCGACCCATCAGACCCCCCTCCTCCCTCTCCCGCACCTGCTCCTCCATCCGCGTTATAATCACCCCCGCTGCTGGTGTCGTCACTGGGGTCGTCCGCTGTGTAGTCCGCTGGGGGGGTCTCACCAAAGTCGCCCCCTCCTCCCCCTCCCCCCCCTCCTCCACCTTTTCCTCCCCCTCCTCCTCCCCCATTTCCTCCCCCGTTTCCTCCCCCGCCTCCTCCTGCTCCTCCTCCTGCACCGTCATCTCCCCCGTTGCCTGTCTCCTCACCACCACCTCCGCCCCCACTCGTATCCTCCTCCCCTCCCCCACTCCCATCACCGTTACTGTCACCGGCACCATCACCGAAACCACCGGAATTATCACCGCCATTGTCACCGGCGCTACTATTACCACCACTGTTGTTATCGGCACTGCCCTCACTCCCTTGGCCTCCAGCACCCTTGTTTCCTCCACTCTCCCCTCCTCCCTCCCCTCCTCCCTCCCCTCCTCCCTCCCCTCCTCCCTCCCCTCCTCCCTTGGCACTGTTGTCCCCTCCTTGTTCTCCTTCCCCTGATCCAGACCCACCATCACCATCCGCACCATCACCACCACCGTCAGCAGCAGCATCACCATCAGCACCACCACCATCAGCAGTACCACCACCACCACCACCATGACTGGTGCTACCATTGTCCTTTCCTCCGTCACTCGACCCACTGGTCCCACTAGGGTCCTGAGAAGCCCCACCATCACCTCCGCTGCTTGACTCACCTCCGCTGCTTGACTCACCCCCACTATTGCTGCTGCTAGAATCACTTGACTTGCCTCCACCGCTGCCCTGGGCCCCTCCCTCCCCTCCTCCCTCACTCCCTCCTCCCTCACTCCCACCTCCCGCACTCCCGTTACTCCCTTCGCCGCTCCCTCCTGCGACCTTAACCCCATCTCCATCCACCTGGGTCTGCTTGGCCACCCCTCCGCTTCTCTTCCTCCTCGCCTCTCTCCACTTCTGCCGCAGTGCCTCCCTCTTCCTCCCGGTCTCCCTCACTCGCTTCAATATCTCTTCCCTCCTCTTCTTCTCCTCCTCCTGCTTGCTCGACGCTGCACTCCCGTTGCTGTCACTCCCGCTGCTACCACTCCCGTTGCTGTCACTCCCGTTGCTGTCACTCCCGTTGCTGTCACTCCCGCTGCTGTCACTCCCGTTGCTGTCACTCCCGCTGCTGTCACTCCCGTTGCTGTCACTCCCGCTGCTGTCACTCCCGTTGCTGTCACTCCCGTTGCTGTCACTCCCGTTGCTGTCACTCCCGTTGCTGTCACTCCCGTTACTATCACTTTCGCTACTATCACTCCCGCTGGTATCGCTCCCACTACTATCATTCCCAGTACTACTGTCACTCCCGCTACTATCACTCCCGCTGCTATCACTCCCGCTAACTTCACTCCCTTTGCTATCATCACCTTCACCACTCCCGCTACTATCATCCCCGCTACCATCATCCCCGCTAGTATCACTCCCACTAGTATCACTCCCACTAGTATCACTCCCGGTACTATCACCACCCTCACCACTCCCGCTACTATCACCACCCTCACCACTCCCGCTACTATCACCTCCGTCACCATTCCCACTCTCCACCGCAGTCAGTCCAGACACTTCCTCCTCCCCTCCTTCCCCAACCGCCCTCTCTCCCTCACCTCCCCCTGCTGACGTGTCACCTTGCGATTGGATCTTCGCGCCAGCCTGGCGAAAAGGAGCCAAAATAGCATCCAAATCAACCACTCGGAACGGGTACTCACACGCGCTCATCATGGCACGAATCCTCCCCTCCTCCTCCGCCGTAACCTCCTTTTTCAGCTCCGGTATTCCCAAGGGAGACTTGATGCTACTCCCAGGCGTCACCAGTACATTCTCCATAACCGGCTGTAGCTGCCTCTCCGGCTGTAGATCTGCCCCCCCCGGCTGTAGCTTTGACCCCCCCGGCTGTAGCTTTGACCCCCCAGGCTGTAGCTTTGACCCCCCAGGCTGTAGCTTTGACCCCCCAGGCTGTAGCTTTGACCCCCCAGGCTGTAGCTTTGACCCCTCTGGCTGTAGCGGCGGCTGTAGCTGTGTTTCTGCCGCCTGGGCCTTGAGCAGGCTCCTGCTGGGGGTGATGTTGATGTCGGCGAATGAGACGCCGACACATGGCACGGTGGCGCTGCAGCGCACGTAGATCCCGTGCGTGTGGTTGCTCGTGCCGTAGATGTTGCGGAACGACACATTGCTGATCGCCACTGCATCGCTGCTGCTGCTGCTGCTGCTGCTGGTGTTTGTGCTGTCACTGGTGCTGCTGGTGGTAACCGGGTTACCAGCATCGTCGCTGTCACTGTCGTCAGCATCAGTGCTGCTGCTGCAGCTGTAGGAGCCGTCACTGCAGCGGGTCTGGAAGTTGGGAAGAGGAGAAGAGAAAGTGGGGAACAACAGGAGAAGATGTCAGGGAAAGAGAAGCAGGAAACTTTGACATGTGCTCGAAAGTCAGATGCAGGAGCTGTCACTGCAATGGGTCTGGAAGTTGGGAAGAGGAGAAGTGGGAACAACAAGAGTATATAGAAGCAGGAGACTTTGACGTCTGCTCATAAGTCAGCTGCAGGAGCCATCACTGCAGCGGGTCTGTCAACGGGTGGAGAGGTGAAGGGTGAGGAGGTGAGATGTTTGAGGGAGAGTAGCAACAACAGGAGGTGACTCACACAACAGGAGAAGCATGGGAGATGTAGAGTATTTTTTAGAATTCTCAAAAATACTCTAAACAGGAGCTGTTGTTGCCCCTGTCTCACACAACAGCTACTTGCCTTTTTTCGGGTTGTTATTAAACATTATCAAAGGGAGAATTTGCTGACCTGGTCGATTTTGATTGGTTCGGTCGTCTCGATGACCTCCACGTCAGCAAAGTGCACGTTGGAGACACACCCCCTGCCGCCCTGGAACGTGCTTATGCGCAGTGCGTTCCTCCCTCCGTACACCGTCGCGTTCCTTACAGTCACATTCGTTACACATGCCGTGAAGTGGTCCTGACCGAGATTGAAGATGCTGTTGGGGGGGAGGGAGGGGAGAAAGGCGGAAGGTGGAAGTGGGGAAGGTGGGTTTGGGGGAAGTGAGCTCTGAAAGAGGCGAAACAAGTGAGGGGTGGTGGAAGTCAAATGGGGGAGGAGAGAGTGAGGGGTGAGGGTCAGAGAGCGGAGGGAGGCAAGGGAGGACAAGAGTGAGTTGTGTGTGGATCGAAGGACAGAGTGCATTGGAGGGAGGGTGCGAGGAGGCCAGAGACCTGGATAGGGGAACGGGTTGATGAAGGTTCAGAGTGGAGACGGATCGAAAGAGCGAGACTAGCGTGTCATGCTCACAGTTCCTCACAGCTTCTCATACACACAGAGAACCAGCCTTTTACTTCGCCCATACCTCCCCTGTCCACCCTCACCTGATACCGCGCCCAGCAGAGCTGAACACATGGCTGATGCTGATGTTGGCAGTGGTAGGGTACTAATGAATGTACCCACAAGTATTCATACCTGAAGAAACTCATACCCACAGGTATTCATACTCGCCCATTTTCCCCATCCCTCCCCTGTCCGCCCTCACCTCACGACCAGCAGAGCTGAACACGTGGCTGATGCTGATGTTGGCGCTCTTATGCACAAGAATTCATATCTACAGCACTCATACCCACAAGCATTCATACTCACCCATCCCCCCCTCCCTTCCCTCCGCCCTCACCTGATGCCGCGACCAGCCGAGCTGAACACGTGGCTGATGCTGATGTTGGCGCTCTTATCCACTATAGCGATGCCGTTGCCACCCGTGTGCATCCTGCAGTTCCTTATAATCACATTCGTCGCCGCCGCCAGGTGCAGCCCGTCAGTCCCAGGGCTGTTGTACGGACTCATTGCAGTCACCTCCTGTACAATCACGTTGTTGCACTCCTGAATGCTGATGTGCATCTCTGGCGGGTTTCGTACAGTAATCTGCTCTATAACGAGATTATCACACTTTTGGAAAGACAACCCTTTCGGTCGCGCGTATGAGTCGGGCTGCCCGAGCGACAAATGTTCCCGCCACGTCTCCAGCCCCTGCCCGTCAAAACTTCCCGCCTGCCTGCCCTGCCCGGACGACGTCACGGTCAGCCCGGTCACCCGGTCGAAATAAAGATGCGCCACCACGCTGTAAGCTGATTGGTAGGAAGAAACGGGCATGTTTGGAGCCAGAATTCTCCCGTCCAATAAGAAGATGACACCTGGCCCGCAGGGCCCTGAGAATACCATGGGGGTGGTGAGGAAATCAGCTCCAGCAGGAATCGTGACCGTTGCTTTGGCGTTATTGTCTATCGCCCACTTGCATGCTTCGTTAAAAGCTGCCTCGATAGCCTCGCCATCGTCGTTCTGCCCATCGCCCAGGGCGCCGAAATGGTACACGTTGAAAGAGCCTGAAACGGAGGTGTCTGTAAAGGGGATAGGCTGGGAAAGCGTGCGCAGCACGTCTTGCGTGGTGGTTCCGTTGGAATCTCCTCCTGCGCCCGAGGGGAGGTTCTGTGAAGCTTCCACCACCGAGCCTGTTTTGGGGGGAGGGTAGATCTGGAAGTTCGGCCATTCCTGATCCGGAGGGTCGGAGTAAGGATCGTTCACCTCCTCAGCATCCCCATCACCATCACCAGTACCATCCGCATCAGCATTTTTATCAGCGTCACCATCAACGTCAGCATCAGCATCAGTACCGTCACCATCACCGTCACCATCACCGTCAGCATCAGCGTCAGTTCCGTCAGCAGCAGCAGCACCACCGCTCCCCGCATCTGAATCCCCCCTCACGCCTCCACCACCCACCATTGTTTCTTTCACCACCCCTCCCCGCGCGCGCGTGCCGTTCCCCGCCGGCCTTCCGCACAGGTCCGTGTGCACGCAGAACGCGGATGAGTAGAAGCACGACGGGAACGGCTCGCAGCTGCCGACACGGTTCGCGCGCCCCGCCCACGCGCACGTGTCGAGCGTGCACGCGTCGCCGTCGTCGCACCCGCGCGCGACGCGCGACACGACCGAGCAGAACGAGTCGAGCTCGAAGCGGCAGTCCCCCGAGAGCGTCGTGGCGGCGGGGGGCGGCGCCCACGCGTCCGCGCGGGACAGGCGCGCGGAGAACGGCCATCCCTCCACGCGCACGAACAGGCCCTCCTTCGGGCGGAACAGGCACGCGGGGCGGGGGAGGGGCGCGCGCAGGCGCGGCGCGAGGAGGTCCGGGTCTTCCGAGCCTGATTCTGCCGAGCCTGGTGAATCGTCCTCGTCTCCTGAGGTTTGCTGCTGCGCCCCTTGCCCGTGCGCCTGCCGCTGCGCTAAAGCTTCCTCCTCCATTGCCTCTATTTCTTCCGTGCTCATACCGCCGCCATCGCCGCCGCCATCGCCGCCGCCATCGCCGCCGCCATTGCTGCTGCCATCGCTGCTGCTCTCCTTTCCGTCAGTGGCTGTGCTGTTGCCATCCGCTTCAGCCACACCCTCCCCTGTGTCACCCCCGACGTCACCACCATCGCCGCCACCGCCAGCGCCGTCGGCGCCGCCAGCTCCGCCAGCTCCGCCAGCTCCGCCAGTCACGGCAGCACCGGCGCTAGTCACAGTTCGAATCCCGTTTCCGCCACCCGCCGCAAACCCCCCATCGCCCGCCTCTCCCCCTCCCCCTCCACCAACGCACTCCTCCTTCACGCGCCGCTCGCACCGCGCGCTCTCGTAGAAACACGACGGGAACGGGGTGCAACTCCCGATGGTGTTATTCCCGCCCTGCCACAAGCAGTAATCTTCCGTGCATTCGTCCCCGTCGTCGCACCCCCCAGGCCTCCCCACCACCCCGCATGCCGAGTCGATAATAAATCGGCAGTTGCCGGTCATGGCGACTTCCCCGGGCCGCGGCGCCCACGCGTCGCTTGCGGAGAGGCGGACGCGGAAGCGGTTCTTCAAGCGGATCATGAAGCGGTTCTTGTGGGGAATGAAGATGCACGCGCTGCGAGGCGGCGGCATGGTTCCCACGATCTCGATAGTGTCATCTGACCCGTCCTCGTTATTATCTCCAGTGCCATCCTCGTTATAAGCGTCGCCGCCGTCCGAAGCAGACGTGTCGTTTGCGCCGCTTTGCTCCCCTTCCGCGCTCTTCGCATCCGAATCCGCAGTCCCCGCGTTCTCCCCCCCTTCCTCGTCTTTCCCCTCGCCTTCTCCGCTTCCGCCAACTTCCCCCTCGTCCCCGCTTCCGCCATCGCCCGCGGATACATTGGCGGAAGCGGATGAAACCGAGCCTGCTGGCGCCGACGGGGGAGTTTGTGGCGCGATGCAATCTGGGTTCGTGACACTATCGGGAGACGCGGTATAGGAACAGGACGGGCCCGCTAAGAGGCAGTCCGGATAAGGCATACACGTGGCTGGGTCGGCAGGCACACACGTGTCAGTCGTGCATTCGTTGTGGTCGTCGCATCCGCCAGTGGGCGTGACATCTTGACACGTGGCGTCGATCAAGAACTGGCAGTCATTCGTCAGCACCTTCCGACCAATGGGAGGCGCCCACGCGTCCGTCGAGTTGAGCGGAACCCTGCGAATGAGCAAAGAATTCGGAACAAGGGCGAATTACCATGTGGACGAAAAGGAAAAACGAACCGAAGAATGCGAAATCAACGAAAAAGCGAAGCCACGACGTTATGTTCCGGCGGCAGTAACGGTTTTTGAAACGCTTTGAACGCTACCAATTCTTTACCTGCCTTGAACCCCGTCCATGGTAATGGGGCCCCCTTTACAAGTGGAAGACAATTGTTTCTACACCTCAGTACTAAGCGCTTACAAGACAAGATACTGGACCGCCTCACGACGAGATTCACTTACAGTGTACTCAGCCCCGCCACAAGCGCGAATGTCCGCTTTTCCGCGTCGAACACGCACGCGCTCGCGCGCGCGCGCAGCCCCGCGGCCTTCACCGCGTTAAGGAGAATCTCCGCCCCCACCGGCGCGCGCTCCAAGCTGACCGCGCCTCCCGTTCCGCCACGAGTCATGGCGGGAGGGGATTCGGGCGCCGATGACGTGGAGCGCGGCGGAGCAGGCGCGGGCGCTACAGCCGCGGCTGTAGCCGTTTCCTTGGCGGGGGTTATGGTGGAAGCGACAGGCGGAAAGGTGGCTGAAGGAGTGCTGGCGGGGGCGGAAGGCAGGTGCGGAGCAGCAGAAGCGGTATTCGGGGTGGCAGAGACGGAGGCGGACGCGGAAGCGGGAAGAGTGACGTCCCTTCCGCCACCTCCGTCGCTTGTGGTGGTGGCGGGGGAAGCGGAGGGGAAGAGGGGGATGTTGGCGATGGGTGTTGGCCCGTGAATTGCGGATCGTGCAAGCAGCGCTGCTGCAGCGGGGATTCGATTGCTGGCGGAAACCGAGTTGGCAGCGGCTTGTGGGGGTGTGGCTATCGGTGTTGCGAGAAGGAGCACTGGTGGGTTGGTGGTTAACGTGAGAGGCGAGAAGGGGGAAGGAGAGGTGATGATGACAGATGCAGGAAGTGAAGGGAGAGAAAAATAGCAACGACAAGAAAATGATTCGAACAGAGGAATTGCAATCGTCTAACCGCTAGTTGGAAGGAAACAAGTAAAAGCCGCGTGAAAACGAAGGATTTTGAATCTGGTGGAGCAGGAGCGGTGAGACATCATTCAGGAAGAGAAAGAAGCTCGGTCAAGAGCGGTGCTGTGGAGCGAATCTATGTATGACTGACTGTCCTCTGACATGCTGAAAGGCAGTTGAGCGCACGTAAGACAAACCGATTCAAGGCTCGAAAATAGTAGTTAACGCAGGGTTCGACGTTTCATGCAGTCACGCACCTAGGGATAGAATGATGGCCACCACGCCGTTACTGCCAGACCTGAGTCGCGTTGCAGACGGAGAAGAAGCTGCTGGTAACATTGTTACAATATCACGGTGTGGCAACGTCACACTGACTGTACGCCTCCGTCGTTTTCCAGGGGGAAGGGCTAACGGCGGTGTGGTGACACTAAATGGTCGTCGTCGCCGCGGCGACAGCGACGTATGCTCGTCTGTAAACATGACTTCTCTACGTCATGGGTTTGTACAAGCTCGGACTATGGATTATTCTCGGCCCTCTCTGCTCCTTCGGGTTGATATGGTTACTGAAGTGCTACGGTTTGGGGTGAACGAGCACAACGCACTAGCGCTTCTTGCTCTGATTGTCGAGAGCGTCTTGTCTAGAGTTCGTACTGCAACTTCACATTGAAAGAAAAACAGTTCTATTTGCTGGTTGCACTGCTTTGAATTTCTCGTTTTCTGGATGGTTGTGCTGGGAGTACTTTACTCACGTGTCTGACGGGTGCTGCTGGCCGGAGTAACGGGACGGCTCGAAGTGATGGGACGGAAAAGTGAGAGGAGCCATGGGGGGTGTGGTGCCCCGAGAAAGGAGCTTGTTGATAGGCGATGGAAGATGGAGGAGTGGACGGTGGTTGCTTGATAGACTTATTTGAAAGGAATTTAAAATTTCGGAGGGCCATCGCAGCCGTCAACAGCTTGAACCATTCGATTAGAGAAATCGTAGCCGTCGGTAATTTCGCGCCCCCATGGCACCCAACGGGTAGCAGGACGATTTGAATTGTCCAAAACCTCCACGCCGCTCGCGTCGCGAAGTTAAACCGCCCTCGAGATCTGCTTCCAACGAGCCGCTCATCACATCGTACGGCCAACTTGACGTCCTGAAATGTTTTGAGGGCGCGAACGCAATTCAAACCTGTGTTCGCGATAGAGGCATGTTGATTCTAGCAGTATAGATCTTGAGATTGGCCTAAACTAAAAGTACTATAGATATGTCTACTGAATTCTTAGAAGCATACGATATTAAGCATAGATCCCCGAATTCATATATATCATCCCTGAGATCAAAATGAAACATGAAGATAATGATATTTGCATTAAATCAATCTCTCCTACCATTGAACATGTATGATGCATCTATGAGGGACGTGAGGAATATTTTACGGAACAACATGTAGCTCATTATTAGAATTCTATCTGCTTGGAAATTCGTAGGCTACTCGAGACTGGAAATAATAAATGAAAAATATCTTGCAACAAAAGCAGACGAGCACTCTGTATCGCTGTCGGGAACGAGGATAGGTTCAATGGCCGCGGTTCTGTGGAGATTCGAATGAGGATCGTGTCTCGGGATGCACCACGGGCACCGTTCGACAAGTTGCTAGATGGTATAATTACATTGCTGCGCTGTATGTCTGCGACCAATGAGAAGGAAGTGGTTTCATGCGCTGGCGTGCTACCCCCTCGGTCCAGATGCGCCCCTTGATTGTTTGCAATAATTTAGCTCGAGTGTTGTGGTGGAGCATGAACCTGGCAGGCCGTATTGATGGAGGAAGGTTCACCATGTTCCAGAAAGTCTGGATGGTAACATTCACCTGTACGGGGTCACGCACACTCCAATAAGAACTAGTATGTGGGTAATTATCCTTTGATATTACATGGCTGAAGACACCCCGAGCTCATCACCATTGCCTTGTGTGCCCTGCCTTGCTGGTGTGAACAAGGATCGTTCACTCGAGGTGAGGGTTGCACAATCATAGAGCGAGCAAGTGAGTGTACACCCTCATTCTCAGTCTACGCACAATTGGGAGCCCTGGCTACAGTGCGTACTGTTGCTTGGACCCTAGCGATCTGGTGCTTGGAGCCGAACTCTAGGTAGGTGGCGGGCAAACGCACTCCCGGGGAACGGTAAACAACGGTATGTAAACTTACAATAAGTTTTCCGTACGGCTGAGTACGGCAAGTGTGCTTACAGCGTATGTTCTTGGACCATGTTGGACGCATTGATGTCATTACAGCTGGCATGTTCATGTGGCGATTGTGCACAGACTGAGAATGAGGGTGTATTGTTTCAGAGCTCCACTGTTTACTGTGAGTTACCGAAATCCAGCGCACGTATGGAATGGATTTCTACCAGAGCGGCGTTGGTGAAGAATGGAGGGCACCGCCATGCAAGGTTTTCGACCTGTGGATGCAGATCCCACCCCATTTTTCTTTCTCACCAGATCCAACTTACCACAGTTTTCCTGCCCGAAGGCCATGCACATTCACAACAACCGCCCGATTGTCGGATGTTTGGGGGCAGCCGTGCCTGCAAGAACTGACACCATTGTCACAGCGACGACGGCCGTCCGATTGATCACGTCAATCCAGCGTGGCCCTCTCCATCAACGGGATGCTGCTGCGTCAGCAGCATCCAGTTCATGAACGCGCCTGCTGACACGCGGGGGAGGACACCAGCACAATTTGTCTCCATGCGCGGTGGTCCCAAGGAAGCACCAACCCGTATCATCGGCATCGCCTCGCCTCGCCTCACACCGCCCCATCCGTCTCCTCCTCGCGCGTTTCTCCCTTCCCTTCCGCCTCTAGGGAGGAGGGAATCACGTGGGCGTCATTTGCCTCCTCCCCTCACCGCCACGCCATCACTTCTCCCGCCTCGCCATTCCAGTCACCCCGCGACGACCATCCGCTCCATGCCTTTCCAAGTGGCAATCTCTCCTTCCCTCTCCCGTTCTCCCTGATTCTCCTCTCTTTCCACCCTGTCCGGTATTCCGTCCGCGTCCCTTTGCTCCATTGCCCCCGAGAGCCTCAACTTCAGGAGAAGCTGCATTTGCTGTGCTGCGATTCCGTGGCAAGTTGGTAACCCGTCGTTTGGCAAGTGTACCACCCTCCCCTTCGCGCTGGCGTTCTGTCTCTGATCCATCCGCCTCAGACCGTGCTTCCTCTCATAGCCCGTCGCCGCCATTGCCTGCGGCAGGTTCATTCCCCTGCTTGCAATTCGCTACCGTTGTGCGCTCACTTGCCTCTAGTAAACAGCAATTCTTTCGCACTCGCGAACCGATTGAAGTGTCTTGCTGCTAAAATCTCCAGCAAGGTTAGCGTTTCTTTTAGTTTGCGTCAGCTAACATATATTGTACCCTCACTCTTGAAACGACTTGGCATACTCGTTTTTCCTTCGTCGCTAGGGTAGTCACTCCTCTTTTTCCACTCTCAGCACCATACCACAATGTGTTTCGACAATTCTTGGCTGGCGGCTTCTTCCCGCGTTCAGCAGGACAGAAATCAAGTAGACTCACAGAAATTAGTCAGGCAATGGGGTTCAGAGCTCTCCCTCAACCCAGACTCGAACCATTTCTGGGCCTCGGAGGAATCAGATTATATCGAGGACGCTGAGCCTGAGCCTTCACCCCATTCTTTCATCGCAGAAGACTTACCATGGGCGAAACGCATGATGTCTTCTCACCGCCGGGAGTCTGTCGACCTGATCAACAACCTCCCAGACGAATGCTTGTCTCACATCTTCTCGTTTCTTCCCAACGCCAACGACCGTGGCTCGTGCGCTCTCGTCTGCCGCCGTTGGCTTCAGATTCAGGGCCTTCTGGGCTGGAACGGTGCTGCTCCCTTCGCCATAGGTCCTTCGGCGACGAAACCAGAGGCAATTACCTCTGACGCTGCAGATTCCGAGAAGCATTCTGTACCGAGTACAGCTGGTGATTTGTCGCGTTGTCTAGAGGGTCGCCATGCCTCAGACACGCGGCTGCTCTCGATGGCCATCGGCCTGCCTAGCCGCGGCGGACTCAGCCGCTTAGTGGTTCGCGGGGATCGCGTGACAGCGGTTTCGGCCATCTCCACGCCGACGCGCCTCACCAACCTCGGCTTTCAGGCGATTGTCGGCGCGAGTCCCGGGCTGCTGTCGCTGACGCTCTGGAACTGCCCGTACGTCGACGACGAGGTGCTCCGGATGCTCGCGTCCCGTTGCAAGGCTCTCCGCCGGCTCGATATAATGAACTGTCCACGTGTCACCGACAAGGGCCTGTCCGCGATCGCGCGTGGCTGCCATGAGCTCCTGAATCTCAGCGTCTCCGGGTGTCCTCGCGCCTCGAACGCCTTCCTTGCCGCCATGGCGTCCGGCTCGAAGCGGTTGGTGTCTCTAGCGCTCTCCGACTTACCCCTGGTGAACGAGTATGGATTAAAGCTCATGGGCTCTTCCTGCAAGGAGCTGAAACGGTTGCGACTGTCAGGGAAAATTGGCCTAACAGATGCTGGGTTAAGGCTTGTGGGTGAACACGTGGCGGGTCTGCAGTGGCTGAAACTGTCGGATTTACCTCTGCTGACTGAAGAGGGTTTCAGAGGGCTTGGTCAGTCGAAAGGATTCCAGAGCCTGCAGTCCGTCACGTTTGCCGGCTGTAAGCAGCTTACCAACAATGCTTTAAGGGCTGTCGTGGAGGGGTGTTCGAATCTGAAAAGCCTCAGCTTGTCAAAGTGTCCCGCCGTCTCTTGCTGTGGGATTAAGGACGCTCTCGACGCGGCTGGATCACTCGAGTCTCTAACTCTGCACAAACTCTCCAATCTTTCCTGTGCACGGGGTTCTGAAGAAGCGGGTCAGGTGGTGCAGCAGCAGCAGCAGCATGAAGGGGGTTGCAAGGGAGGGTGCTGCATATGGAGCGGATCCTGCTCCAGGCTTACCAGTCTGTGCATCAGCCACTGCGACGGCGTAGATCGCCGGTGTCTCGAGATGCTGGGTCGCAGCAACGCCAGCCTGCAGTCGCTCGAGCTGGCGGGTCTTGCAGGCGCAGAGGACAAGGGCGTCACTAGCCTAGTAACAGGCTGCGGGGCGAAGCTCTCAAGCGTGGACCTGAGCGGCTGTTCCCAGATCACAGACAAAGCCGTGGTTGCCATTTCGCGCTGCTGTGGCAACTCTATGAAATCCCTGTCTCTGGATGGGTGCTCCAATGTGACAGACCGCAGCTTGAGAGCCATAGCCTCATCGTGCACAGCTCTTGAAGACTTGGACTTGTCCATGTGCGGGATCAGTGACCGTGGACTGTCTGCCTTAGTCAGCAGCTTGGGGCCATCGCTTCTCAATCTATCCCTAGCTGGATGTCAGGGAATGACTGACAAGAGCCTGAAGAAGATCATGACACAATGCCAGAAGCTTACTGGACTCAACTTGAAAAATTGCCCAGGCTTGACTAAGGAGGCCATCAGGTCCATTCAGCTGAGTTCTCACTGTCTCAGTGGGCCCAGCTGCTTATTCGTCGATGATGCCTTATAACTAGGTAGTCTTATCGCGTTATAAGATGAAAGATACCTACAATACATCTCCGTGTGTCAGCTATACTAGATAGTAGAAATTAAAGGACATTAAAAGATTACTCAGGGAACTTCAAAAGATCCTACCGTACTCTGTTAACAATGAATTGAAGGATACCGGTACATGTTACCAATCAATATGGGGCTCATTCCTGAGGCCACAAGAGCCTACTCTAGCTGCAAAAGTGCTTCGTTGGGAAAGCATGCTATGTCTTCATTGCCTGTGGTCAAGTGCAGCTTTGCACGTCGTATAGATCATTTTTAGAACGTGTAACACTTACCAAAATATACATTTTATAAACGTTGTTCAAGCTTTGAACATTCTAGCATACTGGAATGCATAATGTACAACTGTTTTAAACAGATTATGAACCGTTCCAACACGTGCTTTCTTCAACAGCTTGTTCAAGAAGCCCTCCAGAACCAAAATGAATCTGGCGATAATGAAGGATCTGGCTTGGCTTCCAGTTGCACTGATATTGAAAGAGCTGAATAACAAAGAAAATCTGACGATTCTAAAATTTACAAACCCTAGAAACTAAAGGGGAAGACATCTCAAAGCTGATGGGCAACGACGACAGCCAAGGTCTGGTTATACGTCTGCAAAACAAAGATGGGAAGATTTAGGGGAAACGATCACAATGAGGCCACAGAAAAGCATGAAAAAAAGGAACATACAAAGAACGTCCAAAGGCTGGCAGCGGACCTTCAAGTAGTTGATATATGCAGCAGCGCTTTCTAGAAGCTCCGCCACGTCAGGCTCCGGACCAACCATTGAAGACGGTATCGATTTTTGAAGCATTCTCAGGCATTGCCTGCACCACAGACGACATGGTCAGTCATGCTTCTAGAGGCTAAGGTCGCCAGGACTCTTCCACAGAAAATAAAAATAAAAAATCAAGCTTACTTGAGCTGTTCTCGTCTTTTGTTCCACTCTTCTGGAGACAGGTCGTCGTGATGGGCATAAGGAGCTCCCTCATCCTCTCTGTCGTCCGTCACAGTCGAACCAAATTCGTCGCTCACAGCCTGCGTCTGCATGCCGAACTGTTCCAAATCCCTCTCAGACCGCTGAGAAGCTTGCGTATGCGCAGCGTTATCTTGTACGAGGTCCATCGCGTCGAAATGTTGCGCGAATACGGATACTAAAAACTCAGGAAGGAAGTTCCCACCGCGACACGACTGACTAACTAGAGAATCGCAAAATGCAAATCACACAAGTAGGCAAGATGAGAGCGTACCGAAGCGATATTGCACAATCTGAATCCAAGTGACAGGGAAGTGGTACTTATTGGCAAGCTGAGAGAGCTGAAACCGAAAGCACGACAGACGAAAGAATGGCTAGGGTAAGACAACAGAAATCCAGTTGCCGCACGGAACGGCTAGGATTAGGCTGCTCAAGCTAAGAATTATCCCCATCCGCAGCGGGAAGAACGGATGACGCCTTATCGTTATGGCGGGTGGGGGATGACCGGCTTGCACAGAATATCAGCGAACACCTGATGTTCCCTCAAGGCGGATCGACCTGTTTTGAGAGATTTTAAATTCCCTTCGTGTACTCCCGTCGAGCAAAATGGAGCCCCCCCGCCTTCCCTCCTCTAAGCTAGGATTTTCGCCCACTCACCTATTGCGCCGAGCCAACCACATTACCGAGACCATTGTCCTTCGGTTCATTCTACCCAATGGTTGGCCTGCTTCAGGAAAGGAAAGTTCGCTCTGCTCTGACGCGTGGATCACTGGTTGGGCCTTTGTTGTATGTTTATCGCAGGTTTTTTGGAGTCCTCAGAAGTTGAAGCCACCTGCCTCCCCAGTTTATGGTTCAAGTGACGTATAGGGTTGGTTCTGCTCTCTGGTTGGTTGGTCGTTGTTCCGTCAAGAATGGGGTCTCGTTACGTCATCCAAGCTCTCCTGTGTCTTGCATGATCTCCTGGTGTCCCTGGTCGACGCTGCTCGTTCTGGTGCGGCGGTTTCTCACGTCAGTCTCGCTGGTGGACGCCTGGGCCATAGCCCAGGCTTACGTTTCCTCACGTATGCTCCGTCTGTTTCTCGGCATGCATGCTTCGCGACTCCATTCTGCTTATCTGGCAAACTACGTCTCCTCGTGTGCTGCGGCCATTGCCAAAGCCACGCTTCGATTTTCAATGTCTTAACAATTTTTTGGATCTGGCGGCTCGGTGTTTCTTTTTCACCTTGGCCTGACGATGGGCCTGACGTTCCCAGCTATAAGTTTCTCAGTCAACTCTCTCTCTCCTCACCACCAAGCGCAATGGCCTCCCAGCATAACCCAGACGAGTTCATGGCGGACGGGGACCTGGACCCCTCCTTCTCGGTCGAGTCTTTCTTTGCCGAGGATGCTGCGCCCCCTGCTGTCTCCGCGCCGCCTCCCGCCAAGAGGGTCTGTGCTGCCGCCTCTTCCAGCTCTGCGCCAGTGGCTCCTCCGACTGTCTCCCAGAGGCCGACGGTCGCTCATCCTACGGCCCCGGTGGCTGGACCGTCTAACGCCGTGCCTTCCACGTCTACCTCTACCCAGGAAGTAGCCCCGATTCCCGCCCTGAACCTCACTGGCCGCTTTCTTCGCCTCCGTCGTAATCGGGAGACTGTCGGTGTTGTCGTGGAAAACCTGGTCCGCGATACTCAGTCGGTTGTCGTCGTGCTGTTCCCTGAAGCCCTGGAGCCTCACCGCAGCCGTATTGTCACTCGCGTGCGCAGTGTGCTGCGCGGACGAGATTTTGCTGGTGGTCGTGTGCCGGCCTTCGAGGCTTCTGCCGGCGAGCTGTTGCATCTCCCTCGCCGGTCCTATGCTCGCCACGTGTTCCAGTGGCCTTCGCGGGATGATGCCGCTCGTTTCCGTGCTCTGCTGCCGATTACCTACCGTGCGTCTGACGGCCCAACTGCGGAAATCAAGGCCTTCACCGACCCTGTCCCCGATTTCACTGCTGCCAAGGCTCGGGGTGAGCCGGTATTGGTGATTCGCAACATCCCTATCGGCTACGCCACGCAGGATGTCAAGGATCTGCTCGTCACTCACTGTAACGCGGATGGTGCCAGGTGGTTGGGTGACCTGCAGTTTTTTCATAAGGTGTTTGACACGTATGAGGAATCTTACCTTCCCCAGATGGCTGGCATTCCGGTTGCTCCTGTGAATGACCCGCGGTTTGAGAACATTCCTGCAGTGATCTGGCTCCCCGCCGTTCAGGAGCCGTTGCTCGTCAATGTCTCCTCCCATTCCTGCGATGTCTGCCCCAATAATCACCGTACTCGGGACCACAGCAGCTTCGCTGCGGTCCGAAGGAACCGTCTTACCAACCCCTTCACGATCACGGTCGGACAGCTGCAACATGTCAACGGTACCTTCCCCTCTCTCCTGCTGCCTTGTTCTCTGGGCCCTTGTTTATGCTTGGCTCTCGCTGGTCTCATTGTTTTTCTTGGTTCAGTTATGCTATGTCACCCTTCTTTGCATATTCTGCCAGCTTTTTCCCCCTCCAACTTTGCTTGGTTCTGCCCTTCCCATCCCGCCTCGGGAAGGCTGGTTCCTCTCATCCTTTGTGGTTCTCCTTCTGTTACCTCCTGCTCTCTCCATAATTGCAGCCAGGGTCATTGACCAACATTCGGCTGTGGTGGCTTTCAAGGCCGACCCCGGCTTGCTGTTCATCGGAACCGACACAGAGGTCGAGGTCTGGACCTGTGGCCTCTGTTCCTTCTGCTGTGGCTGGGCACTAGACAGTGCCATGGAGCATCTTGCCAGCCCAGCGCACGCTGCTGCGCTCCTGAACGTCTCTGGCAAAGCTACTCCCATCGAGGAGCTCGGGGACATGAAGGTCCACGATCTCAACAGGAACGACGCCATCTCTGCCTTCCTTGCGTAGGAATAGTAGTGACTTGTGTCGGCCTTGCTTCTCTCGATATCTCCTTCCCCAGCAGGATGTGGTTCATGGTGTACGAGGAGCTGTTTGAGCTGTTTGGAATAGATGATGGCTGCGGAAACCTTGTACTCACTTCCAGGACTGCTGGTCATAATCTGAATAACGTGGCTCAATGTAGGAAACCTTGGCCTTCTGGGAAGGTCCCCCTCAACCCCCGTGGATGTGTGCTGTCCTCAGCACAAGGGGCTAGCTGTTATGGTTCCCATGGATTTGCAACTAACCATACACTGTCTCAATGTTAATGGTTTAAACTCCTCTGCCAAGATGGACTCTCTCAGGGTTTGGTTAGCCAGGAATCCCTCGGATATCTTGATTCTCATAGACACTCGACTTTCTTCCAGTTTTAGGAACCTCATTTACAAATTTCGGCCACATGCATATGCCCAAGTTCCTCCTCTGGTTAACCCCTCCCAAACTTTACCCGGTGGTATTGCGATCTTGGTGTTTAATCATAGAGTCTCCATTTCAAGCCGCTGCTCTTCTGGTGATGGAAGAAGTCTAATGGTGCACTGTAACTTTCTGCATGAACAACTCAGGATCCTGGCCGTTTATGCCCCAAATTATTACCTTGATAGGAAAGCCTGGTGGTCCTCCACAGTGTCCCATTTCCTCTCTCAACCCTCTGCTTCTGATTCTACCATTCTAGCAGGAGACTTCAACAACATAATCAACCCTGCGGACAGGAACCGGGCTCTGCTGGCCTTTGAACAATCAGAAGCAAAAGTTCTGGAAGATCTTCTAATCTCCCACTCTCTCACCGACTCTTTCCATGATCAGTCGGTTACAGACCCTGTTTTCTCCTTCAAAGCTTCGGCACGGCTGCAAAGCCCCACTGCTGTTCCGGCGGCCTCTCGGCTTGATAGAATCTATATCTCTTCCTCGTGGGAAAACCGTATACATCAAACTTCATATCCCTTTGTCTCTCAGGCCATCTCTGACCATTTCCGCTGCCCTTCCCTCTCGATTAAGTTCCGTGCTCTCAACCTGGCTCCACGGCCCTGGAGGTTCCCCCATCATTTAATCCTTAAACCTTTCGTCCTGCAGACCCTGGAGGGGATGTCCCGCTCACTCCCTGAGCCTTGTTCTCCCACAGATTGGGATCGTTGGAAGTGCAGACTGCGGCGCAACCTGAAGTGGTTCAGCAAGGAAGAAAGGATTAGGGTTAAGAAAACGACATCTCATCTACAGGATGAAATATGCAAGCTTCAAATGCATTTGATCAAGAACCCCTCTGACTTTTCCTCCAGTATTCGGCTACAACACCTATCTTCCAGTCTGGAAGCATATGATAACAGTAAGGCTGCTGACATTGCACTCAAGGCAAAGTTAAAGGTGGAAGGCCCTCGGGAGATGGGTATCTCCTCCCTCTTGGTGGGGCTGCAGAGACGTATTAAAGACTCTGTGATTCCTCACCTTACGCTGCCGTCAGGAGAACTGTCTGCCGACCTATCGGTCATGGCTGACCTCTGTACGGACTACTTCTCTAACCTCTACAGTGGCGAGACGACCATCTCACGGAACAGGTCCTTTTGGGACCATGTCTTCCCTTCTTCCCTTCCTGCTGACTGTCTATCCCGCCTGGATAAGCCCTTGTCCGCCTCGGAAATCGAGAACGCTCTTTCACGACTGGCCAAGGGTAAAACTCCTGGGTTGGACGGACTGCCTGGTGAGGTGTTCCACTCTCACAGGAAACTGTTCGCCCCGATTTTTCATAAGCTCTGTACGGGCATTCTTTCCTCCGGGCAGGATCCTGCATCCATGCTTTCAGGACGGACTGTTCTGATCCCCAAGAAGGGCAAGTCGGACCAAGTGGACAATCTGAGGCCCATTACGTTAATGAATGCAGATTACAAAGTCATCACTCTCGTCCTTGCATCCCGGCTCCAAGCTGTACTCCCGCGTCTCATCAGCCCTGCTCAGTCGGCCTTTATCAAAGGAAGAAGAATCGGTGACACCATTAATGATACTCTCGACCTCATGGATTGGGCAACTTCCCAACAAAACCCCCTCCTGGTTCTCACTGTGGACATCCGGAAAGCTTACGATTTGGTGGACCGGGAATTTTTGTACTCATGCCTCCTTCATATCGGTCTCCCCCCCAATTTCGTTACCTGGGTTAGGCTGCTGCATACAGGTACCACCACACGTGTCTCGGTTAATAATCTTGATGGCCCAGTTTTTCCCGTACGAACAGGGGTCAGACAGGGCTGCCCGTTAGCCCCACTCCTTTTCGTTTGTGTTATTGAAGTCATGCAACGGTTTTTGAGTGTTTCCTTGCCTGGCTACGTGTTCTGTAAAGCCCAAAGGAGGCTTATGGCCTGCTATGCAGACGATGTGTCGATTTTTCTCAATTCGGATCAGGAGTTGGCTGATGCCACCACCGCTCTTCAATCCTTCGCTGCTGTTTCCGGTGAGCACCCGAACTGGAACAAGTGTTCGATCCTGCCCATCCACATCCCCGTGTCCTCCATACAATATGCCGGACACATTCCTGTCCGCGTACCAGAGGAGGCAGAAAGAATCCTCGGGATCTATGTCGAGCAGGGTCAGCCAGGAAAAACCACTTGGGAAAACATTCTCAGTCGCATTCATTCAACCGCCTCCCTCCTATCTCGCCTTAAAGCCACCTCCACATGCAGGTCCCTTCTCTCCTCTGAAAGACTCACCTCCACCTACTCGTTTGGCGGACGGTTTCAATCTTCTCCTGAGGGAGTTCCCGACCAGCTCGACCGAGTAGTCGGAAACTTCTTGTCTTCTTCTAAGTACAAGGAACATGGTCTGGCAGTCCGTGTCATTCCCAAGCGCTTTCTGTACAACAAAAGGAAGCACGGGGGTATCGGTGCCATTCAACCTTCCTCTCATCTTAAAGCTCTGGCGGTTCAGCGGGCTGCTCGTAGATTCCAGGCTTCTCCGTATGAGGATATTGCCAGATCATGCGTTCCCCTTCCCTATGGCCTTCATTGTTTCCTGGCTCATCCCTCCATTATCAAGTTCCTTCCCCCACAGATTCCGTCGCGGGCTCGGGCGGAACTTGCTGCAGTGTTAGACCTCCCGGCAACCATCTCTCCACCACCGTTAGACCCATGGGTGCTCATGGCTGAACCCTTGGCCTTTAACAGACTCATCTGCAAAGGCTCGGGACTTCCTTTCGGCCGGCTCAAAAACGAGAAGTTCTTACTTACCCACCAACTCCGGTTAGGACACTTACTCGTGCAGCTTCCAGCAGGCACTCGGAGGATGACCAAAGCAGAAATCAAGATCAAATTCCCTCCCGCCTCCTTCCCTGGAAGCCGCAGCCTCGCAATGAAAATCTTCAAAGCCGTCCCGGAATCTTGGTGGCCTCCATTAGAATCATTTACACCCCGGCACGACTACCTTTCAGTTAACGACTGGGTCCTGGAGCACGATGGTATCCAGTGGCCAAGCCATGCCCTCAAGGTTACCCTCGTCTTACCGGAGCAGAAAGCTAGGTTCGATATCTTCAAGGTAGAAGGAGGGCGGCAGGTGCAACAGGTCTCGTGCGGCAGCTGCATCAAGGCTTTTCATGAAGTCATCCCCATTCAGGTAGTTAGAGGGTGGATAGCAGGAACCTTGTCCGATGGAGCTGCTGTAGGTGCTCGTCACGACCTTCTCGGTACCTCTCCCTCTCTAGCGGACATACGGAACCGGTTCTACCAGCCTCTCCCTCTTAATCACGTGGACCGATGGAACAGCTCTCTCCGTTTTCCCATACAGGCTCTTCCCAACCTGTGTCACTCGTTTCTCTCAGACCAACCATCACGGCATCGCGATGTTCTGTTTCGGCTCTACACCAGGACACTCCCTTCTGGCTCTCGCTTCCGGTTCTCGACCGCTAACGGAGCTTGCCCACGGTGCGGCCCTCCTGAGATTGAAGACTTACCGCATATGTTTTTCGATTGCGGCCAAGCCCCCGCAGTTGTTGCTGCTCTCCAGCGTGTCGCTCTACAACATCTTCACGTCAGTGTCGAAAATGCCGCGGTGTTCTTTCCCTTCAGCCACCCTGCTAGTCTCGTCGCCCCATGGTGTCTGCTGGTAGGTGCTGTTGCTGTTACTATTTGGCGAGATCGCTGCGCGTATCACTACGAACAAACGACCTTCAATAAAATCGAAACTCTGCATCGCGTTTTGGCGTTGTTCACCTCCGCCTGCAAAATCTACTTCGCACGTCGTAGCCGTTGGTCAACCAAGCGGAAGAACAAGACGAAGAACCGTGTTAAGGCTGCTACAAGCTACAGGTTTCTCTACTTCGACTCCCAAGGCGGCCCGCTGCTGCACCCTTCGCTCCAACGAACGTGGCTGCAGAACGACGTTTTTCATCCCCCCTAGAGGCTCTCTGCTTACTGGACACAGTGCCGCACTGAGAATTTTTCTCCGTGTGTTATCTTCGGATCTGCAAGTAACACTGTTTTGGTGTAGGCCTTTTAGACCTTGACTTTCTGTCATGCTTGTTGCGCTGTTCCGTGTATGTGGTCACGACCATTAGTAAAACTTAAAACTTAAAACTCCCTCAAGGCGGATCGGATCATATCGAAGACACCACGCCTTTGCAGTAGTGATTGCCCTGCCCAGCCCCATGGGAGGAAACGACAGCCGATCGCGGTGGTGTACCTTGTGGATACGACGAGGCGGAGGTCCCGCTACCGCAGGCTTGCGAATCGCGAACGCGCAGATTACGGGTCACCAAGTATTTGCGAAATGAGAAAAACATCAAGACCAGAAAACTTGGAAAAATGTATAATCTTAGCTCCTTGATTTTCAGTGGACAAGGACAGGTACCTTTGAAAGCTTAACCCAATCACAGGCATTTCAAGGATACCACAAACAGATTTCAGCCAGAGAAGACTCTTAAGACGCTTCGTTGCAAACCCTCATCCTCACGTACGTTGCACGAGGAAAACCAGCACCAAGCCAAAGCCAGAAGCCACAACAAACCGACAGTCTAGTGCGATGCAAACCAGGGACCCAAAGGCCCATTCGACTGTGGCCCACTGGTGGAAGGCAAGCCTCCACCTGGCAGACTGCTATTGGCCGAGGCCACAGCAGGCACTCTGCTCCCAGGAGCAGCAGAAGCCACCGCAGCATGATGAGTCAGACCGCCGGCCGGATGACTCAGCACATGCGGCGGCAAGCCGTTTGCAGGATGAACAGGCCGAATGCCCATTCCCACGCCAGCAGCAGCAGCTACTCCCGCACCCATCCCCGCCCCCATCCCTGCTGCCATGCCAGGACCCCCGGCAACAACAGGACCTGCAACACCGGGCCCTGCCAAGCCAGCAGCAGGCATGGGCAAAGGCGGTACAGCCCCAGGGTGAGAGGGTGTGGGGCGGTTGGGGAGATAGAGAGCCGCACCCAGGGCAGGTGCGACGAGGAGAGACTGAGAGGCTGACGCCGCAGCAGAGCCTGCAGCGGCGCCTGCATGGTCCAATGACGGGCCGACAGCTAAGCTGTCAGCGAGAGCTGCCGCCGCTGCCTGTTGCGGCGGTGGGGATGGCTGCTGTTGCTGCTGGTGCTGCTGCTGCAGGTGTGCGTGTTGCAAGTGTGCCTGCGAGTGCACCTGCTGCTGAGCATGCTGCTGCTGCTGCAGCTGCTGTTGCGGCGGCTGCTGCGCTTGCGCAACTGCCTGCTGTTGCTGCTGCTGCTGTGGCTGCTGCTGCTGCTGCTGCCGCTGCTGCTGCCGCTGCTGCTGCAGCAGCCGAACCTGCCTGAGCCCCTCGTCATGAATCCGAGCCAGAGTATCAAGCTCGGCAAGTGACAGATTCTCCAACCCAGCACCATACAGCGGCGCATGCCGAGACATCTCCTCCTGAAGCGACGCCTCTAGGGTTTGAATATAATCCTGGTGAGCATGCAACTTGGCCTCCATGCCATCAATGTATGCCTCGTATCGCTGCACCTGCTCCTCCTTCTCCCGCAGGCCCCCCTCCGTCTGCCCCACCGTCTGCGTCAGCCGCCGAACCTCCTCCTCCAGGGACTGCCGAGCCTCGTCTCGAGACACGGTTTCCGTAGCAAAACGCTTGACCTCCTCGTCAAACCGCTTCCTCGCCTGCTCTGCTGCTTTGAGGCGCTCTGCTAGAGCATTTTTCTCCTTCACCACTTTCTGTGAGGTGTGAGGAGAAAAGGGGGGAGGGAGGAAAGGAGATGTAGGGGGGCAGGAGAGGAGGGGGGGGGGGAAGGGAAGGGGGGACGAGAACAAGGGGGGAGGGAGAGAGGGGATGACTCTTGTTATGACATGTTTCGTGGCATGTCATGAAGCGAGACACGGTTTCCGTGGCAAAGCGCTTGACCTCCTCGTCGAACCGCTTCCTCGCCTGCTCTGCCGCTTTGAGCCGCTCTGCTAGGGCGTTCTTCTCCTTCACCACTTTCTGTGAAGGGGAAAGGGGGAGAGAGAGCGGAAGGGGGGGGAGGGGAGGGGGAGGAGAAGTGAGCCGTTTTGAGTCCACAAGAGACACACCTTCAACCGCTTCCTCGCCTGCTCTGCCGCTTTGAGACGCTCCGCTAGGGCGTTCTTCTCCTTCACCACTTTCTGAGAAGGGGAACCGGGGAAGGGGAAAACCGGGGAGGGAGAGGAGGGGATGATTCTTGCCTCCGGGGTAATCTCTGCAGACAGTAAAGTAGGTGGGAGGAGGGCAAACAACAAAGCTTAAGCGTAGAAACAAACGAGCTTAAAACTGGAAGAACAAGGGGGAGGGCGAGGAAGAGAAGATAGGCGGGGGAGAGGGGAGGGAGGACATAGAGAGGAGAAGAGAAGGGGTAACACGGCTCACCTTAAGCTCCTCCCTCTTGCGTGACTTGAGCTGCGTCAGCTGCGGCTCAGCCGAGGCGGGGGGAGGGGGAGTGGACGGGGAAGGGAGGGGGAGGGGAGAGGGGAGGGAGAGGGGACCGAGAAGGAGCAGGGCTCACCTTGAGCTCCTCCCGCTTGCGCGACTTGAGCTGCGTGAGCTGCGATTCGCTCTCCCTCAGCCGCTCTGCCAGCTGGCGCTTCTCCCCCGCCAGCTTGCTCACCGCCTCGTCCTTCTCCGCCTTGGCCCACTCCACCGCCCCCTCCATCTCCCTCACCCTCTCCACTGCTTCCCTCCTCTCCCTCGCGCCCTTCTCTGCTTCAGCCTTCAACTCAGCCTGCAAGGGGGAAAGTTGTAGGTACAGGGGGAAAGGAGGAGCGGCATGCGGAACAAGAAAGCGGGAAGCTAAATTAAGACTTGTCTTTCTCCGCCTTGGCCCACTCCACTGCCCCCTCCATCACCCTGTTCTCACCACCATCACCCGTTTCTCACAGACACCGTAGCCTCACTCAGCTTCTAATGCAGACCCGCATTCTCCCGTCCGTGCCACTCCACATACCAGTGTATTACGACGGTTCCTCAAAGACCGCAAGCCCCCGACCTACCCTCTCAACCACCACCACCCGTTCCTCACCTTGAGCTTCCCCACAGTCGCCTCTGCGTCGCTCAGCTTCTGCTGCAGGCTTGCCTTTTCCCGCCCGTGCCGCTCCGCCTGCCCCTGCCCCTCCGCCCTCGCTGCTCTCAACTCGCCCTCCGTGGCCTGTAGCTGCTGCCACACCACCGCCCTCTCCTGCACTGCCACGTCAGCCGCCTCGCGCATCAGCGACAGCACCGGCCGCGCCACCCCCTCCTCTTGCGCCTGTGCATGGGGGAAGAGGGGGAGAGGAGGGGAAAGAGGAAGGATGGGAGAGGGGGAAGGATGGTGAGGGGGAAGGGTTGAGTCGACTAGAAACGCATGAGCGACAGCACTGGCCGCGCCACTCCCTCCTCTTGCGCCTGCGCGGGGCAATGGGGGGAAGAGGGGGTTTGGGGAACAGCGAGGTGACGGTTGAGTCGACTCTTGAGTTGACTTTTGGGTTGACTCAGAAATAACGTCAGCCGCCTCGCGCATGAGGGACAGCACTGGCCGCGCCACCCCCTCCTCTTGCGCCTGTGCAGAGAGAATGTCCAGACCAAGCTCCCCTTCCGGCGCGCCTCTCTGGCAGCTGGTCACCCGCGCCACGAGCCCCCGCAGTATGCGCTCCTGGCGCCCCGCGTCTCCATACACCTTGTAGAGCACAGCATACAGCGTGCCCACAAACTCCCGAACTCGGGATTCATCAGGCACAGCAACAAGGACTCACCAGGAAAGAGAGGATGTCCAGACCAAGCTCCCCCTCCGGCGCCCCTCGCTGGCAACTGGTGACTCTCGCCACGAGCCCCCTCAGTATCCGCTCCCGGCGCCCCGCGTCGCCATACACCTTGTACAGCACCGCATACAGCGTGCCCACAAACTCCCGCACGCGCTGCTCCTCACTCATCGCCAGCGCCTCTGCCAGCCCGATCACCGTCGGGAAATCCGTGTCCTCCAGGCCAGTGCCTAGCGCAGGGGAGCTGGAGGGGACTAGGGCGTTGCCGGAGGGGTCGAGGGCGGGCGAGGAGGACGGGGTGATGGTTGCTGCTGCTGCAGCTGCTGCTCCGGTGGTGCATGTAGAACTGCAGGGTTCCAGACACCTGTCATGCTGCTCCTGCTCCTGCTGCTGCTGCTGCTGCTGTTGCTGTTGCTGCTGCTGTTGCTGTTGCTGCTGTCGCCGTTTCTTTCTCGAAAGCTGCTGCTGCGGCTGCTGCTTCCCCTGCTGCTGCTTCTGCTGCTTCTGCTGCTGCTGCTGTTGCGGCTGTTGCTGCGGTTGCTGCTGCTGCTGCTGCTGCTGCTGCTGCTCATTCCCCCCTACCTCACTCCCAGCAGCCGCTGATCCAGTCAAAGCCGGTAACCCCGTAGCCCCACCCGCCATCCCACTCCCATCCATCCCATCCATCCCTCCTCCCGCCGACGCAGCAGACAGTGCGGCCAGATGCTGCGACCGTCGCCTCTCCAGCACCATCACCATCGCCTGCTCGCCAAACGCCCCTCTCGCCACTGCCCGCTCAAACACCGCCTGCGCGTTCCCCCGCAGACGTGGCAGCGTCAGCATCTCCATCAGCATGTCCACGTCAGCGACACGCCAGCAGGCAGCGGCTGCTGCTGCCATGACAGCTGCCTGCTGCGCTGCTGCCAGCTGGAGCTCTGCTGCTGCGGCTGCTGCGGGGGAGGCCGAGGGGAGCGCGGGCGCGGGAGAGGAGGCGTATGGGGAGAACGCGGTCATTGCGTTTGCACTCAGACCAGCAGAGCTGCTGCTGGTGAAAGTCCCCCCAGGAGACCCCCCCGCAGAAGCCCCAGCAGCAGCGCTAAACCCTCCCACTCCCCCTCCTCCACCACCACCCCCGCTCGCCACCACCCCCGCACTCCCCCCTCCAGCCGCAGCAGCCGCCACCGCCGCCGCCGCCGCAGCCGCAGTCCCGCTGTTAGCCGACGCCGAGGCAAACGCAGCGAGGCTCTCGAGAGCTTCAGGCGTGAGCGAGTGCTGCAAGTGGGAGAGGTCAATCTGGCCCATAGAAGCCATCTGAGCCATTGGCAGCAGCGAGGGGAGGGACGCAGCCGCTGCAGCCATTGCGGAGGAGAGGAGGTGCGGGTTGAAGGGGCGTGTGTCGGCGTCTATGTCTCGCAGCATGGCCATGGCTATGTCCTCTCGGGCGACTACAGAGGCACGCAGGGCGTGGAGTACGCGGGGGGAGACTGCCGGACCCAGCTGCTGCAGCCGCTCCCGCACCGCTCGAACCTGGGGGACGAGGGGAGGAGGGAGAGGAAGAGGCATTCACACAAGGTGCCTAAGAAATAAACTGCTGCAGCCCCCCCACAGCCCGAACCTGGAAAGCGTGAGGGAAAGGGAGAGGGCAGAGCATAGAGCGGCAGCACAAAGCATGAAGCTCAGGGTGGCAGCAGCTTACAGCAGCAACAACAGCCAGCTTATACAGAGGATAACACTTAAGGAAGGAGCTTCTAAGACGAGTTGCTGGCATTCCGCTGCAGCATTAGGCACAAAGCTGAGAGCAACAGAGGCTTACAGCAGCAACAGAAACGGCTTATACAGAGGATAGACTCACAGCAGGAGCGAGCTGCTGGCACTCGCCTGCGGCTTTAAGCACGAAGCTGAGAGCGGCATTAGAGGCTTACAGCAGCAACAACAGGCAGCTTATACAGAGGATAGCACTTGAGGGAGGAGCTTACAGCAGGGGCGAGCTGCTGGCACTCGGCTGCGGCTTTAAGCACGAAGCTAAGGGCGGCTGCAAGGGCATCGTCGGTGGTGTGTGGCAGCAGCAGCAACAGACAGCTTATACGGAAAAGAAAAAGGACCAAGGAGAGCTTACAGCAGGGGCGAGCTGCTGGCACTCGGCTGCTGCCTTGAGCACGAAGCTGAGGGCGGCTGCAAGGGCATCGTCGGTGGTGAGTGGCAGCAGCAGCACCGCCTCCTCGAGCACCAGCGACCAGGTGAGCGGGTCTAACTCCATTTGTACCAGCGCTCCCACCACCTGCGAGATATGGTGAGAGGGAGCGAGAGAGCTAAGGGAAGTGAGCAAGGAGCATCACATGCAGCAGCAGCAGCACTGCCTCCTCGAGCACCAGCGACCACGTGAGTGGGTCTAGCTCCATTTGTACCAACGCTCCCACCACCTGAGAAAGCGACAGCGATGGGAAGTGAGCAAGGGGCACAGGAGGGTGAGGAAGAGAGATGCTTTTTGAATAAAGTCAGTAGTCGTGTCATCACAGGCAGCAGCAGCAGCACCGCCTCCTCAAGCACCAGCGACCACGTGAGTGGGTCTAGCTCCATCTGAACCAACGCTCCCACCACCTGAAGGAACGGGCAAATAAAAGATACTTCTAAGTAGACTCAGCAAGTCACTTTAAATCAACTGTAACGTGCCATGAGATCACCGTGACGCAACAAAACTTACAACCCACTCACCGGCAGCTGCATCATGGGCTCAGCATTGGGCTGTCTCAGCCGCTGCAGAGAAGTTACTTTAGAGAAGACTCAGCAAGTCAGCTACCCACACAACTCACAACCCACTCACCGGCAGCTGCATCATGGGCTCAGCATTGGGCTGTCTCAGCCGCTGCAGAGAAGTTACTTTAAAGAAGACTCAGCAAGTCCGCTACCCACACAACTCACAGCCCACTCACCGGCAGCTGCATCATGGGCTCAGCATTGGGCTGTCTCAGCCGCTGCAGAGAAGTTACTTTAGAGAAGACTCAGCAAGTCAGCTACCCACACGACTCACAGCCCACTCACCGGCAGCTGCATCATGGGCTCGGCATTGGGCTGTCTCAGCCGCTGCAGCAGCGCCGCAGCAGCCTCGCCATGCTCCTCCACGTCCACCAGCCTCGGCACCAAGCCTAGGATCTCGGCTTGGAAGGCCCGGGGCGCATGCTCCAGCACCATCGCCACCTTGCGCGCCGAGTGTGGGCGGCGTCTCAGCGGCGGGTCTGGGTACGGGTAGGCCTGGGCTTGCGGCACGGCGGTTTCGAGGGCTCGAAGGGAGTCAACTATGATGCCCAGTAGCTCGTCTGCTTGCTCGGGCCATTTGATCTGTGGGAGAGAGGGACAGAGGCGACAGGCGAGGGGAGAGGGGAGAGGGCAGCGGAGAGGGGGAGAGAGGGCAGGGGAGAGGGGGAGACGGGGCGAGGGGAGAGTCGGGAATAGAGAGTCGACTATGATGCCCAGTAGCTCGTCCGCCTGCCCAGACCATTTAATTTGTCAGGGAGGAGGGGGGCGACGGGAGAGAGGGAGGGGAGGCAAAAGAGTGTGGGAAACGATGTGGGAAACGAACCGAGCCAGAGGCGAGGAAAGGCACGCAAGAGTCAGCAGAACATACCGATGTGGGGAGCTGTCGCTGTCCCCTCTGCTGCTGCTCCTGCTGCTGCTGCTGCCGTTGAGGTCTCTCCGTTCACACTGGTCACTGCAGACCCACTACTGCTGCTCTCCCCCTCTGCCACTGCATTCACCCTCCCCCCTGCACCTTTCCCCCCCACCTGCGCACCAAACCCTTCCCCAGAACCACTCCCCATCACTACCCCACTACTACTGCTGCTGCTGCCACTCCCCCCCGATCCCAACACCCCCCCTGCCGCCCCTGCGCTCGCTCCCTTCCCCCCTCCCCCACCTCCCCCCCCACTGCTTGTGCTGCTTCCGCCCCGGCGCCCCCCCCCACCCCCATTAACCCCGTATCCGCTGCCGTAGCTACTGCTCTGAACAGCCGCGTCGGAGCCCCCCGGCCCCCCGTGCCCCTGCTCTAGCCTCTGCGCCACTGACAGCTCCTGGAAGGCGGAATCCGCGGGGTCTCTCCGCCCCCCTGACGCGCCCCCCGCGCCCCCGCCCCCCCCGCGCTTCCCCTCGCGGGGGGCCGGGGCGGAAGGGGGGGCTGACGCGGGGAGGGATGGCGGAGGGGAGCAGGCGGAAGGGGCGAGCGGGGGAGTGGTGGCGGACGGGAGGGGGACTGGAAGCGTGGGGAGGGAGGTTGCAGTGTCGTCTGCTCGGGCACACGTGCACACAGAAACAGGCAGGCACACACATGCACACACGCGCACACATGCACACACGCACACATGCACACACGCACACACGCACACAGAAACAGACATGCACACACGCACACATGCACACACACGCATGCACACAGAAACAGGCAGGCACACATGCACACACACGTACACACAATCATACACACACAGAGGCAACGCGATCAAGCCAATGGCGATAGGCTGGGGCAGAGAGCAAATAGGCCTGCTGGAATCTAACCATCACCCCTCACAACCCCTCGCCACCCCTCGCCGCTTCTCACCACTCATCACCACTCCTCACCTGTGCCAAAGAGGCGCCCAGCATCTGCATCCCCCTGGGAGGGGTTGCGTTGCTGGCAGCACTCCACCATGATATCCAACAGCAGATCCACTAACCTCACCACTCCCCATCACTCATAGCCGCTCACTCACCCGTGCCAAACAGCCGCCCAGCGTCTGTGTCGCCCTGGGAGGGGTTGCGTTGCTGGCAGCACTCCACCATGATATCCAACAGTAGATCCACTATCGCCTGCTGCAGCACCTTCACCCCCATCAGCAAATTCACCAGCGACGGATGCTCCCCCTCCCCCTGCGCTCCCCCCTGCCCCTGCCCCTGAGCCCCCGCCTGCGCCTGCCCCTGCGCTCCCCCTTGCTCCTGCCCCCCCCTCCCCTGGTTCTGCCCCCGCTGCTGCCCGCCCCTGCCCCCCTTCCCGTACCCGCCTCTCCCCCCCGCGCCAGACGCGCCAGCAGCGGCGGAAGCGGAACCAGAGGCGGAGGAGGCGGAGGGGGGCTGCGCGGGGGGGAGGAAGAGGCGCTTAATCTTCGTAGGGTCGTCCAGGTAGGTGCGCAGGCCGCCCAGGAAAGTGGCCACTGCGCCCGCATCCATGAGAAGCTTCTCACGCAGCGTCACCTGCAGCTGCGTGGGGTCGAGCAGCAGGGGGGAGCTGTCCCCGTAGCTGAGATGGAACCCCGCGCGCACCAGCAGCGAGCGGAATATATCCTCCTCGTCCCCCATCAACCCCCCCGCCGCCCCTGCCGCCGCCGCTGCCCCTCCCGTCACCACCCCAGCCGACCCCCCAACCCCTCCACCACCACCACCACCACCACCACCGCCAGAAGCAGCAGCAGAAGCAGCAGCAGAAGCAGCAGCGGACGCGGCAGCAGCAGCGGCAGTACCAGCGGAAGCGGGCGGGCCAAGGGAGGAGGAGGAGGAGGCGCCGGCCATTTGCCCCAGTCCTCGTGCCCCCTCTGGCCCCCCTGGGCCTCCCAAGCCCACCTCCCCGTCGTCACTGTCTAACAGCTCTTCTCCGTCTGTGCTGAGCCCGTCCCCATCCTCGTCGTCCTCCTCGTCCTCCTCCTCCTCCTCCTCCTCCTCCTCGTCTGACATCATCACCTGCCCAGGCACGCCCTGTGCGTGGGCGACAAGGGGGGGGGGGGGAACGAAAGAGTGAAGGTTAGACATTTTGAAGGTTAGAACAGGCATATCCACGTACTTCCTCCCCTGCCCCCGTTCGGATTGGACTCAATACGCCATGGAACCCTAACAAAACCCTCTACCGCACACACTGTACGCGCCTTCGTGTGATATGCCAGCAAGGTGATTCCGAGCCCACTCACAACTCCATTCAGATCAACCTAACCCCGCAAGCATAACCCCCATAACCCACAACCGCGTACCCCAACCCTCCTCCCCACAACTGCGTACCCTAACCTTCCTCCCCAGAACCTCATACCTCGCACCCTCTCTCACCTGAAAGTCCGAGAACTCGGGGCAGCAGTCGAGGATATGACACAGAACACCATGAAATCGCGCACCACTGCCCCCTGCCCCACTGCCCCACTGCCCCACTGCCCCCTGCCCCCCTGCCCCACTGCCCCACTGCCCCACTGCCCCTGCCCTACACCCCCAACCTCCACACACTCTCACCTCGAGATCTGAGAACTCGAACCAGGGGCAGCAGTCGAGGATATCACAAACGAAAACCACCGTGTCGCGCACGAGAAACCCCCCCTCCGGGTCCAGCAGCTCCGCGACCTTCATGAGCTGCAGCACACTGTTGTTCCACGCGCCGCGTGCCCGGCTACCCCCTGCCCCACTACCACCTGCCCCACTACCCCCTGCCCCGCACCCCCCTACCCCACAAAATCCTTGCCCACAACCCAGTGCTCCCCAAGCGCTCTCACCTCGAGATCCGAGAACTCGAACCAGGGGCAGCAGTCGAGGATGTCACAGACAAACACCACCGTATCCCGCACGAGAAACCCGCCCTCCGGGTCCAATAATTCCGCGACCTTCATGAGCTGCAGCACGCTGTTGTTCCACGTGCGCGTGCACACGCTCGCCTCCTTCCACACGCTCGCCTCGGCGGCCTTCTGGTTGACGATGCCGATCTTGTAGCGCACCCAGAAGTTCTTGTCCATGTCCGTCGCCGCCATGGTGGTGGCTGTGGACGGGCCCGCTCCTGCCATCGCCTGGTCGCTCTCCAGGTAAATGCACAGCGTGTCAAACGACTCGTACACGCCTAAGGGGGGTGGGTGAGCAAGGGGTGTCGAGGCGGGAAAGGGAACGTTGGGGTCCCCGAGGGTGGGGACGGAGGAGCATTGAGTCTTAAAACGAAGACATATGCAAGAGGGCTTTAACGGCCCGGATAGGCGCCCAATGTGGCCTAATCGCTTTCCAGGCAGATGCAAAGCGTGTTGAACGACTCGAATATGCCTGGCGAGGCAATGGGGGGGGCGTGGCGCATAGACAGTGGCGCATGGTGCACACGAAACCCTAATTGCCCGCTAATATATCAAAGTGACACGAGCGAGAACCAGAGAGCGGGGAGTTTGAGGGGGGGGGCTGGGGAGGGGAACACGGGGCAGAAAACCAGAGCCAGGGGGCAAGAACTGCCGAAAAAACATGACACGGCGAGAGGTGGCGCGGAAAACGTTGAGTCGGGGAAAGAAAAATGCACAGGGCGAAAGCGACGACGAGGGGGGGAAGCGGGGGAGGCGGAGCAGAGAAGGGTGGAGGGGGGGGAGCGGCGGGGGATGTGAAAAGGACGAAAGAGCAGTGCAAATCAGATCATGAGTTGCGCGAAAGCAAGTTGCGCGCGCACCAATGCGGAGGTCGCAGCCGCCTGCGGAGAAGAACTTGCTGAAGATCTTCCTCGTCTCCATGATCTCCTTGAACGCGAGGAAATTCTCCACCTTCCACGTGAACACGCCGCGCTTTGCGATCTTATTCGCGCTCGTCACGTCCATTGCGCCCCCCGCGATCAGCTGCGCCGTCCCCGCGCCCCCTATCCCCACCAGCCCCGCGGGGGACGCCGCCCCCTCGTCCGTATACTCGAACAGAAACGACGACTCCTTCAGTATAAGCACCTCCGCGGAGAACACCACCGTATCCGATACAAGGAACCCCGAGTCTAGATCAAAGAGCGAGGTAAGGGTAACGAACTCGCGCCAGCCCCAGTCTTTGGCGGCCTTGCTGTAGCGGTTCTGCGACTCCTTGGCGACGCAGCGATCCTCCTGCCGCTGGTTGACGACGGAGAGCCGGTGGCTCACGAAGCAGCTCCAGTCGGCCGCTGGCACGCGCGAGTCCGTGACCTCCAGGAACATGGAGAGGTGGCACGGCGGCTGCGACTGGCCTGCGCGATGGAAATTAGTGCAAAGCGGACAGGGAACCGGCGAAGGGAACAAAAGCGGTGGGCAATGGCGGGGAAAGGCGGTGATGGGAGGGGATGGGAGGGTGGGGGTGGAGAGGATAGAAGTGCGGAAAGAAAGGCGGAAGTGACGGGCCACGCAAACAATGGGAAGGGGGAACGGGTACGTAGACGCGGAGAACGGCAAACCGAAATTCGGCACAGAAGAATTCACCTGAACGAAACCCTACTACAACTAGTGTATACCTCACAGCCAGCGAACACGTCGCAAGCAGTGCAAACCGCAAACGCAGCAAAACCGTACCTCGCGCGCGCTCTACACAATGAGGCAGCAAAATCTGAGAATTCTCAAAAGCGCAAGCGTACCTCGCGGGTAAACGATGAGGCGGCAGTCGCGCCCGCCGACCTGAAAGCGCTTGCTCTTGATGCACAGCCCCGTGATCTTGCGCTTCTTCAGCAGGTCCTTCAATCGCGTGAAGTTATCGATGCGCCACACGAACTTGCCGAAGTACCCGTCGCCCTTCTTCACGTTGCTGCCGCGCCCGCCCGGCAGCGACGGGTTCTTGGAGAACGTGCTCGACTCCTTGATGACGTGGAACGACGCGCTGAACACGGCCGTGTCGTCCACGAGATACCCCGCGGTCGCGGAGACGAAATCCGCCATGCGCATGTAGTCGTTCCACCCCAAGCTCGTGTTATCTCCGCTCTTGTTGTCCGCCGCGAATCGGCCGTACGAGTCCCTGTGCACGTGGTTCGATCCCGGCCGTTGGTTCAGCACCGACATGCGGAACAGGCACCAGCAGCTGCGCTCCGGGCCGGACGATTTATCGACGTCTTTACTCTCGAGGCACATGGAGAGGTAATCGACGTTGTTGACGGACGACTGGTAGACGCTCAGCCGGAGGTTGCAATCTCCGGCGGGAAACACGGGACTCATGATCTTCTGCGTCTTAATCATCTCCTTAAACAGCGAGAAGTTGTGGACTTTCCACGAGAATTTCCCGCTAACAACCTCCCCGATAGCGGGAGTAATCGACGACGCGAGCACCTCGTTGTCGCGCGAAAACGACACGGACTCGTTAAGAATGAGAATCTCCGCCGTTATAAGCACCGCATCGGTCATCAGAAACCCCGCGCGGGAATCCAAAACGACCGACGACGGCGTGAAGTCGCACCACCCGTGCGACTTCTTCTTTCCGGAAAACCGGTGCCACGAATCCCGCTGCACCGTTTTGCTGTCATCTTTCACGTTCACCACGCAAAGCCGGTAGCTCGCGAAGCAATCCCACTTGCTACTAGCCGTCCCGCGAGGGTCCGTCAGCTGCAGATAAATCGATATATACCCAGGCAAAGCCTGCGAGTCGCCTTTCGGGTATACCAGCAGCCGGCAGTCGAACCCGCCTACTTCGAAATACTTGCTCCAAAGCGCGCGCGCCTTCACCTTGCCAAACTGCGCGATGGTCCATTTGCAGATGGCCGCGTGGTCACCCTTGCGCTCTACCACCACGGATTCCTGGCCGGCCTCCTTGGGATCATCTATGCTCTCGTTGCCTCGCAGCTGGACCTTGTCGCTGCGAGATCCGGGCAATGTGCCGTCTGAGTTGATCTGACACGCCGTCGCTCCTGATTCCTCCGCCTTCCTCATGATGCCTGCCTAGGAAAAATCGGACGACTAGGTTAACAGGATCTTACGAGAAATACCTAAAAAGAAAGAAACATTACGGATGGTTTTATTGAATTGTGAGCCTACTACCGTCAGACGCTGCTACGGCTAAACCTAATTTTGACCACGATAGAACAAAAACGGCTATCTGGAAGGTCAAACACGAAACACGGCGACGAGGCGGGAGCCTTACAAAGTCGAAAAAACTAGAAGCTAAGAAACCATAAAATCTCACTATCCCGCAGCTAAGGACACGGCGCAAGATCCGCCGCGACGACTAATCTACTCCCCGAAAGCGAAAATCGCTCTCCTTATTCCAGATCTGCTAGATGAGATAAGGAGCGGGGAAAAGGAACGAAAAGTACCAAGTAAACCAGAAACCCTAACTTTGCTCTCTCAGATGGCGTTCTACGCAACCACCCGAAAGGTGCCTGCCGTGCCACGTATTCCTCTCCCTCGGGATTCCCTGCAAACGGATCACCTCCTCATCCGTCTGTCCACCTCTGCCCGCCAGATCCCGTGGGGGCAGGAAGGGGGCAGCAGGGTCGTGCTCGGTCTATCGTCCGTCAGTGGTCGCCAGTTCGTAAACGGAAAACCTTCGCGAAGGACTTGAAAGTCAGGCGAGCCTTCGCGGTAGCCGTCACTTCGCCATGGAATGTTCCGCTGTTACACCAGCAATTTGAAGCATATCCCATGCATATCGGTTTTCTCTCTAAGTATGGCATGTTTCTAGAACAACAGGTTCGAGCAGAGCAAGAAACATTGGTACCGCACAGGACAACCCGAAACCCATGAAACGGACCTTTTTTGTAGTCGGTGAGATCTGTATCTTGTCTTGTCGCGCAAACACGGATCAGTCACCATAGATTCCTGTCCCACAAATTACCTGTCCCGGTCGTCCTTTTCTCACGTGATCTAGCGTAAGTTTCACATCCGAGAAAACCCCGTGATGTGGTCGTCGAGACATCCGCACGCGCCGTGGCCGCGGCCGAGCGTCGGCCGCTTTTGCTACATCATGGTGGCGATCGCAGCGGCCATCGTGATGGTCTACCATCACAACGAGATGCAGCAAGAGATCGACATCAATCGACGGTCCAGGTTCGTCGATCACACCTGCTCTGCCCTTCCCCCTCCCTCCCCTGCTCGCCCCTTTAGTATTAGTCTGATTCTTTCAGCAAGCGTTGGCGTTTTCGCCCTCGCTCATGTCCTCATTCTCTACCATTCGCGCGTTTCATCCGTGCGTCATGCGCGTGTCACGTGTGGATCGTGCGCGTGCGCCACGTGGCAGGAATCAGATGGAGCGGCTGTACGATGCGATGCGACGGCAGGAGGGCGAGTGGAAGGCCAAGGCGGAGGACGAGCGGCTGCGACTCGCGGAGGTCATGGACGCGTGCTCCAAGGTCGGATGCAATTCTGTGATATTATCGAGGGAACACACTGTTCCACGGTCGGACGGGATGCTGTGATACAATTGAGAAGAAACAGCCGCTTGCGTTCCCTGCTGTCCCGCAACCAGACAGCCAGATTTTCCTAATCTCCTTCCTGCTCGCTCCTGTTCCGCAATTGTGGCAGCACCTGTCAGACTTTTGGGTGGACTTAAAAGTCATTGTGGCAGCACCTGTCAGCGGAACAGCAGGTCAGTTAGGCAGAAAGCTAGGGTCTCATGATCTCCTCTCGTGCTCTCTTGTGTTGAGCAGATACGGCAGCAGTTGGCAGCGGAGCAGCAAGTCAGCCAGCAGCAGGAGCAGCAGATACGCTCTCTGCAAGAGGTGCGCTTGAGACGGGCATATGAGAGGGATGGAGGGTGTGAGAGGGGAAAAAATGAGTCCACGTCAGCATAGGTGCGGGTCCACGTCAGCATACGTGTGCGTACACTGTGATGGGCCTTCTTTGGGAGCTTTCAGCTATGCGTTTCCCAAGCCTGTGTTTGTCCATCCTTGCGTGTGCCTGTCTCGGGTACAGGAGCTGCGAGCAGCAAGAGGAGTGCCCCACAACAGCAGCCCTAAGAAGCCGCCAGAGGGGGGCAACCCGTGACCCTTGCCCGGCCTGCACCCGCAGGCGCGTTTGTCACCTTGCTATGCGTGCGTGCACTGGCAGAAGCTGTGAGCGCTTGCTGGCAGGAGGTGGGGTGATTGCCAAGCTGCACACACGGACAGACACAGCCTCCCTTGCACCCGCCTCAAGATTTCTCAGCATGCCTTGCAACAACCGCATTCGGACACCCACAGTGGTTCTTGCAAGTCTTGCCAGTTTACCAGCACAGCTGTTGAGGCGCTTCATAAAGCAAGCAAGTCTCGCAAGCCCCTCAGCTCGGAAGAAGCTCGACTTGCGTCTTCACGATGCCATGCCAGACGGGGCCACACGTTGTCGCAGATGTTGTCTTTCTCCAGAAGAGGCTTTGAAAAGGGCGTTGCGCTGGCACTGGCGCTTTCAGGTGCCTCAGAACTTAGATCGACGCGCAGCGGCTGCTCCATCCCCTCCTTCGTCACTTGCAGCAGTGCAGCATGGCTGGCAGGATATGCCCACAAGCAGCAGCCCTCCCACAGCGTGCGTCTCATCTTCTGAACCCTCCAAGGCTGGGGGAGTGAAGTGACCGCATCTGGCATCTGGCTGGGTGGAGAGCGGTCCACCCTGCCAGGCTAACACCTCGGTCTTATCACATGGTCCTGGCAGGGAGCAGGATTGACCGAAGCATTCGGAGCGGATTCTACCGATGCAATGCGGTTCTATGCCTGTCTCTGGTTAATGAGCGGATCTGTCACTTGTGTTGCTGGATGAGATTCATGATGTGACTTGTAAACAATCTTGGTGCTACGATGCTGGCTTGTGATGCTGAACCTTGCTGCTTTCTGCTTGCAGTTTCTTTGGCGGTGGTAATGTCGAAACGAGTGCAAAGTCGTGAAAGGGATGCGAGCATCGCACACCTGCGGAACAGTGTATGGATTAGTGCTCTTCATAGATAGTGCTGTAGTGTAGAGGTAGCCCTGTGAACAGCTGAGAAGGGCAGCAAGCAATAACTCAGCTGACACCATGTGGTTTTCTTTGGAGAGCAGTACCGCAAGATGCAAGGAGCATGTGTTGACTGCAGTCACGGCAGCAGAACACGATGCATGAAGCGAGTGCGGCGGCGGGAGGAGGGGTGCAGCACCCCCAGCACCTGCAGCTCCGATGCTGCTGCCAGGAACCGAGCTCTGTGGGTTGGTGGGAGGGCAGGGGGGGATGCAAGGAACACGGAAACAGCTGGTGATGTGAGTGTCATTTCGACAGACGATGCCGCTGGTCGTTCTGACAGAGGCGCTGACACCATCGTGCCACAAGGATGATGCAGAAAGGAGCGCATGGCATGGCAAGGGAAGCAACGAGGCATGAGCAACCAAGAGTGCTTTAGGAGGGAGGGAGTGAGTGGTACAGTGGCATTCATGGGTGCATGGGCATGAGCATGAGCAAGCATGGAGGCATGGGCATGAGCAAGCATGGAGGCATGGGCATGAGCAAGCATGGAGGCATGGGCATGAGCAAGCATGGACTCAACTGGATGTGGTCGTCTGAGAGAGTGACTGCCATGGCACCGCTGCCATCATGCCCCGTCGTTTCCTGCTCCTCCTCTCCACCAGCTCCACCCTTCCTCTTCCTCCCTCTCCTCCCTCCCGTCTTCTCACCACCCTTCACTGCCTCTCTCCCATCTACCGTCCTCCCCTTCTTCCCACGCCCCCTGCCCCTGCGGCCAGCAGCCACAACACCTTCAGCCGCACCAGTAGCAGCACCACCAACAGCCTCACCCCCAGCAGCACAATCATCCGCACTAGGTGCCGCTACAGCAGCAGCAGCAGCAGCAGCAGGGGCGCAGGCAGCGCGAGTGGCAGAAGCGAAGGCCGAGAGTAGGTCGCGGGAGTCAGCAGAAGCACCGGGCATGGCGCACACCAGGGAGTACAGCCGACTTGTGTCATGAGCTGTCGATGCTGCTGGGATGAGCAGTCGCTGCGATGACCCTGTGCTCCCATATACAGGGTCCGGGTTAGGTGAGGGTGCTGATGCTGCTCGGGTGAGAGGTCTTTGCGATGACCCTCTAGCCACTTCTGAGGCATCACGTGGGGCTGAGGATGAGGGAATTGACTCTCTTTGACTTTGACCTGATCGTTTTGCGAGGCCAGCGGTATTGACGGTAGGTGCGGGTACTGGCATGACATGCTTGTGAGGCGACATGTGAGGCAGCCGTTTCGTGAAGCTGAGAATATCCAGTGCCGTTGATGGTGCTGAGTCCAGCTGCACTTGGGATTGCTGCTGCTGCTTCTGCCGCTGTTCCTCCTCCTCATGCTGCTGCTGCTTCTGCTGGTGCTGCTGGGTGAGGTCAGAGCGGAGGGAGGAGAGCACAGCGGCACCAGCAGGGTAGGCTGCGAGGGATGCGGGGGCTCCGACAATGAACGGGTGCAGGTGCGGGTGAGAAGACCAGTCTTGCGCGCAGATGCTGGAGGGGAGGTGTGAGCGACAAGGGGGGGGAAGCAGGGGGGGAGAGGGGGGAAGAGAATGGGAAAGAAGAGAGGGGAGGGGAAGGAGAGGGGGGGGAAAGGAGAGATGATGCTAGGAGATTAGGGGGAAGGCGGGTTGGAGGCTGGGACCATGTTCCTGCAATCACCCCAACCAGCACCTCAAGTCTCGATGTTAGTAATAACATAAAAACTGCACTCCTATTCTCCTCGCAACTGTTGATCAAATCTCCTCGCTCCTCACCGCACGAGGGACGCTAGTAGGGCTTGCAGCTTCCCTGCCACGTGTGGCAGCAGCAGGTCACACAGCGACCTGGGGGCAGCAGGAGGGGCTGCTGCAACTCAATCCTTACCGCACAAGACACACCAGCCGACCTTATCTGAAGTACAATCTCACCGCACAAGAGACGAGAGCAGAGCTTGCAGCTTCCCTGCCACGTGCGGCAGCAGCAGGTCGCACAGCGATCTCGGGGCAGCAGGAGGGGCTGCTGCAGGCTGTGGGGAAGGACGGGGCGCTGCCGGGTGGCTTGATGCTGCTGATGGAGGTGGTGCCGCCGCTGATTGGAGCAGCATGGCCCTGAGACAGAGCGGGTTGGGTTGGGTTTGATTAGGTTGGAATGGGTTGAAGTGGGCTGAGGGGAAATTGAAGAGGGTCGAGAAGCACAGAGGAGGGGCATGCAAGCAGGGAAGGCGTGTCTTCTCCAGAGTCACTGCTTCATATCGTGAAAGCCAGGAAAGGCATGGAAATCTTCCCCTTTCCCACCCACCCTTCCCCTCACACTCCAGCCTTTCTAAGCCCATTGACTCCATCCCTTTCACCTCTTACCCTCGCCTCTATCTTCCCCTCTCCCAGCTACTTCATCCCATTCCACCCACCTTCTCCGCATGGCAGCACTGGAGCCCCTCTGAGCCATGCTCGCAGCACCCGCCCCTGCCGCCCCTCCTTTCGCACCTTTCCCACCCAAACCATCCGCCCCAGCTGACCCTCCCTTTGACGAATTGCCAGGTCTGGGCCTTGTACCATCCACTTCATTCCCCTTCTCCATCTCATTCCCGTTTGTCACATCTCCTCCTTTCCGGCTTCCTGCTGCCCTTGCCGCCGCTGCTGCTGCCGCTCTTTCTGCTTTGGTTCGGCGCACTGCTGCATCCACGGAGGCTTGGATCTGCCGAACCAGACGGAGGGGCTGCACCGATCCAAGGAGGGACAAAGCAACAGGGAGGTGCAGCACAGCAGCGCAACAGGGACGGACGCATGGCTGCGGTGACGAGGTGACTTTTGAGTCGACTCAAAAGTCACCTAGCAGCGCAACAGGGACGGACGCATGGCTGCGGTGACAAATGGTTACATTGCAGCAGCGGGCTCAACGAGACACTAAGCTCAGATGACACCACACAAGTATAAAGACCAAGGCCTAACCAGAGAGGCTAGCCACGGAAACCCTCACCAGCTCGCTGCCCCTGACATGTCTGACATGTGATATTTGAGGCGCCTCAAAAATAGCCCCTGGCATGTCTGACATGTGATGCGACATCCAGCCATCCAGTGCTCACGTCTCATGAGCCTAACCCTCTCTACAAACGTGGCCTTTAAACCAACTCCAACAACCATCCCCACGGATTCAACCCACCGACTCAACCCACCAACTCACCTCTGGTAGCTTTCGCACAGGCGAGCTCCAGCCACCCCAGCATCTTCACTGCTCCGGCCTCCTGCACCCAGCCCAACCTAGAAATGCAGCGGATAGCACCAGAGGCTACCGCTACAGACACACCCAGCAGACTCACCTCAGGCAGTTTAGCACAGGCAAGCTCCAACCAGCCCAGCACCGTTGCTGCTCTGGCCTCCCCAACAGACTCACCTCAGGCAGTTTGGCACAGGCAAGCTCCAGCCACCCCAGCACCGTTGCTGCTCTGGCCTCCCCTCCCGCCTCCCACGCGCACTCTCCATCCTCTCCCCTCGACCTTCCCTGGCCTCCCTCCCCCTTCACTCCTTCCTGTCCTTCTCCCCTCCCCGCAGTTTCTCGCCCTCTTGCAACCTCCTCCACCTCACAATCCCCTCCTTCCTCTCTTGACTCAGCTACCTCTCCCTCTTCTCCTGCATCCCCTGCTTCTCCTGGCATTTTCCGCAGCCTTTCTGAATGCCCGTTGACTTTCTCCTTCCCCACATGCCTCCTCTCCGCCTCATACAACTCTTGCCTGGCAGTCGCAGGGAGGAGAGGAAAGTGTGAGAGACAGGGAGAAATGCAGGTCGTGTGAGACAGGGAGGAGGTGTGGATGCGTGAGTAGAAAGAGTGCAGAACGAGCAGCTGTAGGCAGTTTGTGATCTGCCAAAGAGGCAGATTGTAAACATAGCTACGCCTTTAGCTGCAAGCCGATTCACTCCCAGCAACGCATAACCTTCCGTGGCACCACTTTAGAGAGCTATCAAACGGCATCATCCATTACATCACGCACGACTTAGCACAACGGCTCATGCACCCCCACACCTCCCTCACCCATGCACTCACCTGGCCAGCGCGTTTGTCGCCTGCACCACTTGCTGCAAGCACTCCGTGTGACTCAACGCTGTTGAAGCAGCAGGTGTACGGCTCCTGAGAATGTGAGGGCACAGCACGCACGCACTCGTGCACTCACCTCGCCAGTGCGTTTGTCGCCTGCACCACTCGCTGCAAGCACTCCGTGTGACTCAGCACTTAAGCAACAGCAGCAGGTGTATGGTTCCAAAGGCTGTGAAAGCCCAGCACGCACTCTTGCACTCACCTCGCCAGTGCATTGGTCGCCTGCACCACTCGCTGCAAGCACTGCGTGTGACTCAGCACCTGGCCCACAGTCGAAGCACCAGCGGTAGCAGCCGCAGCGGCAGCAGCAACAGCAGCAGCAGCAGGAGGGGCAGCGCTCAGGGGCAACCCCGAGCTGAGGGCAATCTGAATCGCTGTCGGCGCTGGGGAGATGGGAGAAGCCGAGTCTCCTTGTGCTGCAGGTGCAGGGAGTTGTGCAGTTGTTGGTGTGAGGGAGATGGGAGGGAGAGGTGTGAGGGAGGAGAGGAGGCGGAGGAGGGACTCTGGGGAGGGGGTGTGTGGGGGAGTGAGAGAGGGGTGGGAGGAGGCGAGGAGGAGGGCGAGGAGGTGCGCGGAGTGGGGAAGGAGGAGGTGCAGGCGGAGGAGGAGCAGGTAGAGTGCCTGAAAAGGGAGGGATGGGGGAAAAGTAGAGTGAATGGAGGGAGGAGTGGAAAAACAAGGCGTACAGGAAAGGGATGAATGGGAGAGGAGGGTATAATGGAGGGAGGTCCAGAGAGAGCTGACAGGTGGGAAGACGGAGCAAGGAGGGAGGAATGCTTGCATCAGGGTTAGCAGGGAGACAGACGTGATTTTGTGAGAGGCCGAGGAAAGGGATGGGCGGGTTGACGGGCAAGGGAGAGAGCACATCCACACGGATAGGCCAGTGGTGGGCGAGAGTTACCTGAACAGCGGATGCCCATTGGCTGAGAAGGGGAGGCGCAACTGGGGGAGGTGCGGCAGAGGCAGGTGCAGCTGATGCAGGTGGCACTGCAGCAGTGCTGTGGAGGGCAGAGCCAGGAGGAGGGTAAGACGCATCCCCTGTGGTGTGCGAGGGGGCGCTGAAGAAGTGGTAGTGAAGGAGGGCCTGGAGGGAGGCGAGAGGTACAGAGGGGGAGAAGGGGAGAGGGGGGAGGATGAGAGGGTGGGCCATGAGGAGGGTAAGATGCACCCCCTCTGGTGAACGAGGGGGCGCTGAAGAAGTGGTAGTGAAGGAGGGCCTGGAGGGAGGCGAGACAGCACGAGGGTGAGAGGGGGAGTGGGGAGAGGGGGAAGAGGGGTGGAGAGGGGGAATGAGGGAGAGGGGGAAGAGGCGGTGAGAGGGGCAGGACGAGAGGTGAGACAGGATGTGAGACAGCAGCACTTGATCCTGTGTATGTGGACCCATCATGCACGCACATGGTTGCTAGATGTTCCCCACCCCTTTCCCTTCCTCCCCACCATTCCTCACCTTGAGGCACCGCTTGATCCCCTGTATAGACCCGTCATGCACCTCAAATGAATCCCACAGTGCCGCCCACGCCAAGTGGGAGAGAACAACTGGCACTGCCACCGTCGCAGCTGCTGCTGCTGCTCCTAACCCTGATCCTTCTCCTGCTCCTGCTCCTCCTCCTCCTCCTCCTCCTCCTCCTATTCCTACTCCTGCTGCGGCTGCTGCTGCAGGGATTGGTGGTGATTGTGAGGGAGGGGAGGACAAGGGGTGTAGAAGCGCGGAGAGGAGGAGGGGGTCGAGGAGGAGGCGCGGAGAGGGCAGGCGGAGGGTGGAGAGGTGGAGGTGGGGGAGGGTGCTGGGCGGCAGGAGGCGGGGGATGGATGGCAAGGAGTGGACGCCAGTGAGGATGAGGACAAAAGGGAGGGTGCTGCGCCACTCGCTGGAGGGTGAGGGAAGGTAGAGAGGGGGGGGAAGATGGGGGAGGGGATCGTGGGTGGGGGTAAGTGTGGTTGAGCAAGGGTGTCGCTGGGCGGGAGATGTTATGAACTTTCTTGGAGAAGCAAGCCAATGAAAGGGTTTCTGAGGACAGATGGAGGAGGACGGTCGGGCGAGGGGGGGTTGATGTGGGGAAATGGGAGGGGAAGGGAAGCAGGGACATGGTGACAAGAGCGGAGAGCATGGAACACACTGACCTGAGGACACTGATAAGGGCATGCAGCGCGCTGGTGCTGCACGCAGGTGCGTCTGCCACCACCACCGCAATGGAGCACACACCACCATCGCTGAAGCCCGCAGTGCTACCCACGCCGCCATCACTGGTGTGTGTTTGGTGGCGCCATGCGGAGAGGGTTGCCATGTCAGGGACCTGGGCCACAAGGGGAGCACGGGGATAAGGAAAGGAAGCACAACAAGTGGATGGGGGGAACTGGAGTGTGCCCGGTGGTGCCATGCAGAGAGGGAGGCAATGTCAGGGACCTGAGGCACACACGGTATGGGGAAAACATCGCTCAAGATGTGAGCCGCTCAGCATTGGGACATCTGAGCTAAACGTTGGTGGCGAGATCTGCCAAAAGCACTGAGAAGGCAGGCTTCGAGATTTCAGGCTGGTTATGCAGGAGACATTGGAATCAAACGCCTGGCCTACGCTGTCCCCCACTTCCACTCCTCCCACCTCCGCCCTCGATCTCGCCTTCTTCCAACCGGTTCCCTGCAGTAATTCCTTAACCCCCTCTTCCCCTTCCCCCCTTTTCATCCGTCTCTGCACTCACCTTTCCTGCCTTCCCAGTCAGTTGCTTCTGTACGCTCAACACAGCTTGACTCTCTGCCTGCCCTCCCCCGCCGAAGCTATGAGGCTCCAGAAGCGCCACGTGGCAGCAGCACATTCGCTGCAGGGAGGACTGAAGCGCGGAGCAGAAGGAGGCACTGTCGGTGCAGTCAAGCGAGCCGGTTACCACAACGCTGGTCGGCAGCTTGCAGGTCATGCCTGCCCCAGCAGGCGTTATCTGGACAGGGCTTATCTCGACAGGTGCTGACTCCTTCTCTTGCCCTGCATTGTCTGGAGAAAGGAGTAGGGAGCAAGAAAGGTGGTTGCTTTAGATATCAATTAATTACTTCCCAATGTAGAGTATGAACAGAAATAGAGTTAGAGATTGATGTGCGCGCGTCAGACAAGCAGTCTGCTGCATGAGGGGACACGCGCTAGGCCATATCCGCATGTGCTTGTAGCCAGGGTGCGCATAGCAGGGTGCTTACAATAGAGGTGCTTACAGCGGTGCAGAGCGGTGGACGTCTTGACCCACTGCTGAAGCTGAGCAACCACCCGACTCTCATGCTCCCACAGCGCTGCCTGCATGCGGTGGCATGGGGTCGCATGGGGTCGCACAGGGTTGCATGCGGTGGCATGAGATTGTAATGGGTTCCATGGGGTTGCATGGCGATGCGAGGGTTACATAAGACACTAGCGTCCCATGCACGTCTTTCATCCATGCCCCCAGGCTTACATCTATGCGCTGCTGCAAGCTGCCCCACGTGGCTTGAAACGCGCCTTTCCCAAACACTGCTCCAGTCACCCTCGTCCTGTTCCCTCCTCCTGCACTCCCACCCTCTTCCGCCGCATTTCCACCCCTTGCTGCCGCACTCCCATTCCCTGCTGCCGCACCCTCTGCTGCCGCACCCCCTGCTGCCGCACCCCCTGCTGCAACACCCCCTGCTGCCACGCCCCTTGCTGCAGCATTCTCCCCTACAAGCACATCCGTTACTTGCACTGGACCATCCCTCCCAAGCCCAGCAGCACCTCTCTCTGCTGCCTTCCCTCCCCGCCTCGCATTCCCTCTCTCCGACACAGCCTCCCCTGGCAAAACGCTCTGGTGCGAACCGTTCTGTCTGTTCGCAGCATTGCCCTCCTTTCGCCTTGCTGCGAGACGCCCGTCTGCTTTCCTGTACTGTGCATCTCCTGCCTTACACGCTGTATCTGCCTCTTTTCCCGTGGGTTTTCTTTTGTCATCTTCCCCCACTCCCTCCACCTCCTCTCCCTCCTCCTCCCCTTTATCCTCCCCTTCCCCCGCCTCTCCCTCTTCCTCGACCCCTCCTTCCCTTGGCACCTCCCCATCTTCAGCACACGTGTCCTCCTGCTCGCACGGAGCTCCTTCCCCTGGTACCACTTCCTGAACATCATCGTCAGCTTCAGCTGCATCACCATCACCACCATCACCAGCATCACCACCATCACCACCATCACCACCATCACCACCATCACCAGCATCATCACTTCTACCCTCCAATTCCTTCTCCTCCGTCTCTTTCTCATCCTTCTCCCCATCTCTCCATTTGTCCCCCTTCCTGACCTGACACTTTCCCCTCCGCTCCTCGTCCTCATTCTCCTCCACGTTTCGTCGCTTAGATCTCCGTAAAGCGGCTCCCTTCTTCACTCTGCTCGTTCCCGGATTCTCAATTTCTCCCGCTGTACCCGGTTTCTCGCTCACTCCCGCTGTCCCTAATTTCTCGCTCACTCCCGCTGTCCCTAATTTCTTGCTCACTCCCGCTTTCTCTAATTTCTCGCTCACTCCCGCTGTCCCTAATTTCTCACTCACTCCCGCTGTCCCTAATTTCTCGCTCACTCCCGCTGTCCCTAAGTTCTCACTCACTCCCGCTGTCCCCCCTCTCTCACTCACACCGTCTGCCTTCCCAGACAATCTCAGGGACCTCCTAGGCGTAACGTGTTTTCTGCCATCCGACGGCTCAGATTGTTTCCGAGACGGCTCAGGTTGAATCGCCTCTGCTACCGTCACCGTGCGTTGAATCTGATCCTCATCGGACGGCGTATACTCGTTCGACGCTCCGTTCACACGTAATTTCGCTGATTTTGCACCGTCAGATCCCCGCTCCTGCTTTTGTTTCCTCGCCGACTGGCTAAGAGCGGCTTTGCCACGCGACAAGTGTTTCTTTGACCTCATTGGGATTCACAAGGAAGCTATCTCTTAGCCAATCCACTGATTCTTACAAAAAGACATTTGCTCGGGACCTGTAGGTCATATATCGTCACTTAGCCTACTACGTACCGGTTAACTAGACCCACTGATCGTCCATAGCTGAAGGGATGTAACAAGCAGTGTCTTTATATCGAAGCAGTTAGTGGTGACATGATCGTGCTTCGTAGAAAGCTATCACTTTAATGAAGGCAGGAATTATTGCCGTGCCGCTGATGTGAAGCCATTCACGCGCAGACCTAAGAAAAAAACGCGACGAGCTGCGCCAACTCCCATTCACTGGGGCGAACATGCAATCTACCTGCTATCAACACCTACAGATGCGCTCCGCTGGCTGGTGCTTTCACAAGCTTGGGTACAGAGGAGATCAAGCAAGGAACTTAGCTGTCTTGAAACTCGCCCACCCCTCATTCCGTTCCTGTGCTGGGAATCCCAACTCAGGAGGGATGACAGGCTACTGCCCTTTCCTCGTGTCAGCGCCGTGTCAGGAGGAGGACGTACGCCATTCCCCTTGACATTGGCCCGCCATTTCTCTGGCGCTGCGGAGGCGAAGATCGAGGCCAAAATTCAAATGCACCAACTGGGTACACTAGGTCTGAATGCCATTCAATCGAATTCAACAGATTCTAAAATATGTGCAAGCCCAAAACAAATATGCACCTTATACTGCCTTCCATTTTCTGCTCGCCATCCCGTGGCCCCTCACAATATGGTTTCCTCCAACTCTCATATAACGCCACTGGTTTTTAATAGACGTGGCTATTTTCCCAGTCTTCTTTGTTCTTACATTGTGTCTTATATCCTTTTCTTTCTTGCTAATAGAGTGCGTGCGCTCTTCCCTTTGAATTGTGGCGGATGGTAGAAGGCGAACCCATGGCTAATATGACATAATAGCTGGAATCACCCATAAAGTGGTGTAGTTGAAGAAGATATACCCCTTAAGTTTTAGGAAAATATGCTAATGGTTACATTAATGGGCTTCAATAATGCGTACGGTAAGATTCCACTGAATTTTGAAAGCATCAACCCTAAGCAACACCATGGTATAGAGCGGTTCCTTCCTGAGGATCAATTTTTATGGCCCCACCGCTAGCCTCTCGCAATTGCGCGCACCGTTGCGCAGCCCGTACTGCGCCTCGTGAGTGCACCCCCGCCTTCGGCCCGTCGCCCGCATGCTACCCGCCGCAGCAGCCCATCGTCCGCACGCGACCCGCCCCACACAATATCCGCTGCTCCAGCCTGTAGCCCGTCCCGTCACCCTGCCGCCCGTCACCTGCCTTGTCGACCGTCGCTCGTCCTGTTGCGCTGCTGCTCATTACGTCACATCCCGACACCTGCCTCGCCGCCCGTCACGTCACGCCCGTCACCTGCCCCAACGACCGTCTCGCCAGCGAGCTCGCTAACGGACCCGCGAGCCCGCCAGCAAGCGATCCAGCAGACCCGCTGTCGGACCCGCCAGCAAGCAATCCAGCAGACCTGCTGTCGGACCCGCCAGCAACATAAGCCAGTGGCTCCACCAGCTCGCTTCGACCCCGTCTGTGCACCCCGTCCGACCCCGCACCCCGCGACCTGCACTACGCTTCATGTCCGCATCCCGTACGCGCACCCCATACGTTGCCACCCCGTCTTCACATCCAGAACACACCACCCATCCAAAACACACCACCCATCCAAAACACACCACCCATCCAAAACACAACACCCATCCACAAAACACCACCCATCCACAACACACCACCCATCCACAACACACCACCCATCCACAACACACCACCCATCCACAACACACCACCCATCCACAACACACCTCCCATCCACAACACACCACCCATCCACAACACACCACCCATCCACAACACACCACCCATCCACAACACACCACCCATCCACAACACACCACCCATCCACAACACACCTCCCATCCACAACACACCTCCCATCCACAACACACCACCCATCCACAACACACCACCCAAACGCACCAAGCAACTTAGCCACGAGACCACCAGCACCACCCTTAACTCCCCACCCACTCATGCTTAACAACTTACCTACCTACCCACATCCACCCACATCCACCCACATCCACCCACATTCACCCACATCCACCCACAATCACCCACATCCACCCACTTCCACCTACATCCAGAAACCAGCAACCACCCACCCACCTACCTAACCACCCTCTCACCACCCCTCCCCACACCGCCCAAACAAACCCACCCCACACACCCAGCACAGCACCACCCGGCCAGCACCCAGCCTCGAGCCAGCACCCAGCCTCGAGCCACCACCCAGCCTCGAGCCACCAACCAGCCTCGAGCCACCACCCAGCCTCGAGCCACCACCCAGCCTCGAGCCACCACCCAGCCTCGAGCCACCACCCAGCCTCGAGCCACCACCCAGCCTCGAGCCACCACCCAGCCTCGAGCCACCACCCAGCCTCGAGCCACCACCCAGCCTCGAGCCACCACCCAGCCTACCCGTTTACCCAGCCACACCCTGCCGACCCTTCATTCAGCCCCCATCCCACAATCTTACTCAACCCAAGTATTCAACCCACCTTAGAGTATTCAACCCACCTTAGAGTATTCAACCCACCTTAGAGTATTCAACCCACCTTAGAGAATTCAACCCACCTTAGAGTATTCACCCCCCCTTAGAGTATTCAACCCACCTTAGAGTATTCAACCCACCTTAGGGTATTCAACCCACCTTAGGGAAATCAGGGCCCATCCCACAATCTTACTAAATCCAGCTCACCTGAGCATTCAAACCATCTTGCCCAACCCAGCTCTCTCACTTCACATAAGGGCATTCAGACCACCCAAGGGGTTTCACCCCTTCCTTCTCACCCATCCCACCCAAGGGGATTCACCCCTTCCTTCTCACCCATCCCACCCAAGGGGATTCACCCCTTCGTTCTTACCCATCCCACCCAAGGGGATTCACCCCTTCCTTCTCACCCATCCCACCCAAGGGGATTCACCCCTTCCTTCTCACCCATCCCACCCAAGGGGATTCAATCCCCTTTCCGCTCACCCATCCCACCCAAGGGGATTCACCCCTTCCTTCTCACCCATCCCACCCAAGGGGATTCACCCCTTCCTTCTCACCCATCCCACCCAAGGGGATTCACCCCTTCCCTCTCAACCACCCAACCCCCATCCTCTCTCACCCACCGAATCCAAGGGGATTCTTCCCTTCCCTCTCAACCACCCAACCCAAGGGGTTTCAGGCCCCTTCTCTCTCACTCACCCACCCAGCCCATCCCCACACTCTCCTACCAGCAGTGAGAGCAGCAGAAAGCCCACTTTCTTAAGGAAACAACACCCCCAGAGGTGGTGCCTTGTGGGGCGAGGTGTAGTCGTGGAAAATCGCTTCCAGCCCAAGACTCAAATCCCACCCCTGACGTAGCCAGAGCTGACGCGAACCAGAGCCGCCGGCCGGTCGGCTCTGACGGTGTCCATTAGGCCTTGAACGCCAGATCGGTTACTTGAGCACCGAGTGCCGTGCCGCGCAGATTCCACCCACCACACCCCACCACCACAAGACACAACCCCAGGAGATGCTGCCCCTAAGGCAGTGAACTCCCCGCTTGCTCCCATGCTCCCAACCCACGCACCCACCCACCCCACACTTCACCCCCATGCCTGCTTACCTGTACTCACCTGTACCTACCAGAGCCATGCAGAGCGCCATGATGCTGAGGCTGCTGGGAAGAGGGGGGATGATTAGGAGGGGGGTGCAGGACTCCTCTGTAGTCTCCGCAGGGTGCTGCTGGGAGGGAAGGGAGACCCCTCCCCTCCACCTGCAACGCACACACACGGCGGTGGTCAGTATGCATGGCATGGGCACAACACAAGGCAGAGAACGGAAACTGCCAAATGTGGAAGAGAAAGGGAGGGCCACTGGTTGAGGCCAGGCCACACGCCACAGACGCCAAGGGAACCTGCACCTGAAGGGGGGACCTGCACCTGAGAGGGTTACCTGCACCTGAGGAGATACCTGAAGAGAGGGGGTCTGAGGCATGTAAACCGAGCTCAACCAGTGGCATTGTTTCAAAGGGAAGGGCGAAAGCACAACCGGCAAAGGAACTGGCAGCAAGAAAGCAACAAGCCATGATGTGGCGGGCAAGGGTGAGGGCATGGAAGTGGGTGACTTAGCTGATAGCGTGAGGGCGAGCTCAAGGCAGCTGCAGCACCACCAGCTGCCTCCCTCCGCAGCAGCCCTCCTCCAGGTGCCTCCTCCCTGCACGGCCACAGGGGAGGGGCGTGAGGGAGCGTCGGTGTTGACCCCACACCCCTCCCCGCCACCTGCAACGCGCACACACAGAGCTAGTCAGAGCGCGGTGGTGGGAGCAAGTTGAATGGGAGACTGTGACTTGAAATCCAGCGCAAGGGAAGGGAGGAGGAGCCACTGGTGGAGGCACGGCCACAAGCTGCAGACCCAAGGGCACCTGAAAAAAAACCTGAGGGGTGTACCTGCACCTGAAGGAATTACCTGAAGCAAGGGGGTCTGTAGCATGTGAGCAGTACTCAACCAGTGGCGTTGTTTCAAGAAGACGGTGCAACAGCAGATGAAATGAAAGAAACGGTATGGCAGGCAAGGGTGTGGGCATGAGGGAACGGGTACTTAGCTGATTGTGTGGTGCAGGCGGAGGGGGTGCTTCAATGGAGAGTGGGCAGGGCGAGCGGGGCTTGAAGGGACGGACCTGCGAGCGAGGCAGAGGAGAAGAGAGAGGGAGATAGAGAGATAGTAAGGGGCAGGTGGGAGGGAGTGACTCTTTAAAACGAGAAGACAGGCAGCAGTGTGAGTGCAGAAACGACGGTGCATGTGACGCCACCACAACCCCACGAGAGCTGCTACCAACATGAACCTGCACCTGAACCTGCACCTGAACCTGCACCTGAATGTGCACCTGAACCTGCACCTGAACCTGAACCTGAGGGGGAGTGGGCTCGAGTGGAGTGTGGTGGCAGGGGCGATACTGCAACCTCAACCGTTGATGAGGCCGGCGCTGC